ATGATGAAACGAGTCAACTGAGGCTTCAGAGATTTGAGAGGTTCAGAGGTTCGCTTGCACTTCCATGGGTACCAGGTAGTTGAAGGCCCCTATGGACCCAAACATAAATGGTGCACGTGGGATGGCACTGATCATTGAACAGGACCGGAAGTCGGAGTGAGCTCTGCTAACCTCGTCTGGACCAAGATACTCTTTAGGGGATCTGCATCCTGGGTTATAGGATCAGGGTACATTCCCCAAAAGCTGCACGATGCTGAACGCCTTAAGACTGTGAGCAGCTCGCTGGATAGCCTTGCACAATGTTCTCTGACTGTCCGTTGCTCCTTACGGGAGATTGAAACATGTCAAAACTGGAACTTCAAAGGTGGAGCGAGAGCCTTCGGCATCGGTGCTCTCTGGCTCTCTGCTCCCGTTTTCAGGTTCACCAATTACATGGCCTCAGTGTGGAGAGCAGAACGGGACAGCAATCGATCACATGGTGGTGAGTGGATCGGCATGTCCTGTTCTCTCTAATTGTGTTGTTTGACGTCGTGGGGAAACCTCTGACCACTGGTCAGTCACCTTCAGTGTCAAGAGGGCAGCCCTTGGTCTTCTAGGGGTGCAGTGCTGACCCATTTTGAACCCTGGGCCAACCGGTGCGACATAGTGATGGGGCCCCCCAAGTGTGGAATCATGGTTCTGCACGGCTCAAGGGAAGTCATAGAGGGAATTGATTGGAAGATACAAAGGGCATCAATCCCAATCATTGACTCTCATCAATACCTCACGGTTATGGTGGACACCAACTGGACACTGTCCTGAAGGGGTGAAGGGTACTCTGATCATGCTCATCCCTCTTCAAGGACATCAAGATCCCAATGCAGGTCAAGCCTGTAGCACATAAGGCCTGTGAGCAAACATTTCTCCATTAGGATCTGAGCTCCTCAGGATGCAGCCAAGAGGCTTCCTTCGACCCATCTGCAAAGTCCAGGATCAAGAAGTAAGGTGGATTTGTAGGGCTCCAGCCTACAACTACCTGTCGCTGAACACCTTGGAGGGGAGTTGGTTTCACAGCGGGCATGTCTATTTGCCTGGGGCCCTCACATGAGGACCTGGATTAGCAGCTGGTGCAGAGTAAGGTCAAGGTATTAAGGGGTATTGGGCAAGGCCGGTTAACTGGATTTGAGGTACTGATCAGCTACGATCTTATTAAATGGTGGAATAGGCTCTAGTGGCTGAATAGCCTACTCCTGTTCCTATGTTTCTAAGCCTGGTACACGGTAATGGACTTGGACCTCACGAACATCAAGGTGGTTGCACGTCCCACCCTGTCCTGTAAAGGTCCTCCAAACACACTGAAGGCAAGATGCCTGCCAGATAGCTGATGAGGAAACTCTGAGGCTTGGGACAACAGCTGCTGGAAGGTATTACTGAGCTTCAAGCAGATTCAGTCCGAGTGAGCAACCAGGGAGATTCAGAGAAGCCAGAGAAAGAAAGAAGTGAGGCAAGAACTGAGCGATACAGCTTCAGGCAGTGAACATTTGTGAAAACATCCTCTCAGCCCTGGCCTGTGGTATCAGCGTGTGGCTGTAAAACTTCTCTATTGTTGGTATCCTAGTACCTTGGTTGTTACCTTGGTAATACAGATGTCGTACAAAGCTCTTGTCTCTCTCTCTCACACCTCCGCAAGGTCACACTCAGACACTTCTATCTCTGCTTGGATCCGCTTTGTCTGTATGTGGGGTAAGCAGGTTGGAGTAAGCAGGAAGGTGCCAGGGCATGAAACAAGGGTGACATCCATTGGTGGTTGCACTTTCGGCCACTAAACTCTGGAACACTCTTCCTCTATCCCTCTGCCTTGCCCCTACCCCCCCATCTTCAGGTCGTGGATTCGACCGTGCCTATGGTCACCTCCCTCTCCCCCCGGGTCAGCGTCGTGCTCGCCACTGTCAAGCGCTCTGGGACGCTGCCCTGAGTGAGGGAGCTGTGCAAATGCAAGTGTTTGTTATATAGTGCAAACAATGAAATCTCTGATCTTAATCAAACCAATCCACGCTCTGGAGGAATTCAACCCTTTAAAGTGGTGCCTGTGTAACCAAAGGGATAAACTGGGGAAAATCTAATGATGTAAAAAAATAGCAAATTGTTTTAGGAACGGAAGAATCTCTTTAGAAGAACATAAGGAACAGGAGGAAGCCATTTAGTTGGCTGAGCCTGTTCTGCCATCTTATAGGATTACAAAAGATATTTTAATGCCACTTCACTGATTTCTCTTCATATTCCTTAATATCCGAACTTCCCTGGGCTTTGCTTTTAAAACATCTCAAAAGATTCTTCATCTATGACCTTCTAGGTGCAGCGTATTAGGGCTTTTAAAGCTTTCAGAGTGGAGACTTTTATTCCATCAATATGGGATGAGTTCCAACCCATCTCCCCAGCACTGAGAGGGCAGTTTAGTACCTCACTGTTTTATCCACAGAGTAAGTGTCGTATAGCTTGGAAGAAACAGACAACTTTGGACTCAAGGTTCCCAAAGCTTTCCATTCTGTTGTAGACTAATCATTATTGTAGCATGAGACTACCGGGATGGTAAAAGGTGAACTCGATGGACCTTGCTCTTTTTTTCATCTAGCAATTGTAAATGACAAGTTTGATCATGTCTCGTGTCTTGGTATCCTGGTATTAGTGAAGCGATTTCCACCAACTTGACTTCAAAGAATAAAAACAGTCTGGGAATGAAGCAAGTTCAGTATGACTCACTTCAATTCGGAGAGACTGATGAGGTCGCCCAAACCTGCTTCCAAACCATATCCAAGCCTGGACCTAATTATTCTCCTAGGAAAAGCAGTTATGCGCACACTATCCTGTTCCAAAGAAGACAAGTGAGCTTCCAGCTCACAAGCCATGCCAGTGGTGTCATGTGAACAGGTCAACTTGAGATCATCACCTGCACTCACGCCTGAATGCCAACGTTTACAGTGAATAACAGTAATGTAGCGATTGTTTACCTACTACTGTATTTTCCATGAGGGTTAATAAATGTGACGGGAAAGTCTTTAAACAATGATTTCCATTGTGTGGAAATGTGATCCACTTAACTAAATGGAAACCACATCTATCAATGAAGATTTAATGAGTAACTGTTCAAGCAACAGACAGCCTTTTGTAGAGCTGACTTTCATGTGAGTAACAATAGATGGTTTTTGGTTATTGCCAAAGGGACATTGCAGTGGTTAAGAGCACAACATGTAGTACCACACAGTAATAGGGATGTGAGACAGATAATAATAATCCTTGCATTTGATAGAGTGCTTTATCATGTCATTGAGATGTCACAAAATGCTTTATATATTGTAAAGTGACTGTGTATATCTGTGGGCGAAACGTGGAAAAATAAATATTCCATATTTATTTATATTTCTATAATTATAAAGATTCCACATGTGACAAGGTCACCAACGCAACACAGAACAGAAGATGTTCGAGTTGCTTACTACAGACCTTGAGACTACAGTGATTGGAATTGTTGCCTAATCAAATAATACTGGGATTGGATGTAGTCAGTGAGGCCACTAACAGCAAAATCTTTTTTTATTAGAAGATCACTGAAAATATCCATTTATTTTTGGTAATTTTCACTTCCGTGCACTGTGTACTATTTTCAGCTTCGGGAGAGTTGATAGGCGTCGCAGTTTAATATTAAACGATTCCATCCCAAAATGCATCCTATTAGAAAGGCAGATAAATAATGTACCGTGTTTGGCATCTGGCATCTGACAATTAATGTGGAATGGGCTGGTGGGGGGAGATGCTGAATTTAGTAAGAGAGAATCCTATCGAGGAGAGGGAATCAGTTGAGCGTTGTAAACAGGATTGTAACAAGGACATTAGGTCAACCTTTTCCCTATTATTGCCACTGCAATTAGTTTCCGGGCTGTTGTTTTCTGGGGTATTTCCATTTGCAAAGTAAGCAACTAATTAGATCAAAACCTCCAGGGATGGATGCCAGGCAACTTTTTACTTGTGAGTTTTTTGGGACGTCAAAAGTCTCTCATCCTTTCTATTTTAATTAATGACCTCTGCTGTGCTCAGAAGTAATCAGGCAAGATATGATGTGTTGATCTTACCAATACATTTAGACACATCACTTTTTTTTTCCTTAAGCCAACATTGTACAGATGTCACTCAAACCTCACATGGAATGATGCTATCCTGGCTCAGTTGACAGTACTCTTGCCTCTGAATCAGAAAGCTTTGGGTGCAAGCCTCGCATCAGAGCTTTGAGCTCATAGTCCGGGCTGACACTCCAATGAAGTTTGGGGGAGCACTGTGTTCACTAAGACATTGTCCTTAGACTGAGATGTTAAACTCAGGTTCCATCTGCCTGTTTAGGTGGAATTGGAATACTCCATGATTCCATTTGAAAAGTGAAAGGAAATGCTCCCAAGGTCCTGGACTAATCCTCCAGATACAATTGTCCATTCACTTCATGGCTAGAGGACATTGCTGTACTCAAATTAGCTCCTCTTTCACCTAAAAATACACAATGACGATTCTTCAATAGAAAATAAAAAGCAGAAGTCGCTGGGAACACTTAGCAGGTCAGGCAGCATCTTTGGAGAGATGACCTTTGGTCTTTGATCTGAAACATTAACCCACTTTCCTCTCCCTATAAATGCTGCGTGACCTGCTGAGCGTTCCCATTGACTTCAGTTTTTATTTCCAACATCTGCAGTATTTTGCCTTTTCTTCAATGCAAAAGTTCTGTGAAGCACTTTGAGACGTTTTGATGACATGATAAGGTGCCGTGTCAAACGCCAGGATTCACTCTGGGGCACTGAGCTCAGGGTCTGATAAAATATTAACTTCTCTGCCCCTTGTCAATTTGTGAACAGTAAGAATGGTGCCATGTTGACACCTTCAGAGGAACTTTCTTTGTGAGTCGGTGTTTTACCATTCAGGTTGATTGTATATTTCCTCCAATCATCATCTTTGTCTCTCACTCTCTCTTTCCTTCTCAGTAATGCACCCTTCTCCTTGGCTGCAGCTCTGGCAAGAGTAGCGACAAATGAGGTCCTTCAGACTGACCTCACTGTGCTCCACAGTTTGCCCAAACTGCTGGACGGGGGTAACGGAATTCCACGTAAGTAGTGATTATTATTACGTAGAGTGGGACAGAGTTGGGAGAAGTGACTCTGTTGGTATTGTGGTGCATTGTGGATCATTGTTCTGGCACGATGCCTTATACAACCATAGAAACAGGAGTATTCAGCCCCTCGAGCCTGTTCTGCCAGTCTATAAGATCATGACTGATCTGTACCTCAACTCCAGTTACCCACCCTTACCCCTTAATACCCTGATCTAACAAATAGCTATCCACTTCAGCATTCACGTACTAGCGAGCATCAGTACATGGCACCCATGGAGCTGAGTAACCACAAGCTACTCTAAAGGACCAGGTATGCTGACTCAAGAGCCCCTGTGATGAACCCATAGTGACCTTTAGTGCACCCGAAGAAGCACAGATGAAGGGCAACTTCAGGACGAGAATCAGATCGTCCTGGCTTGTCCTCAATTCCCTGCTACTGCAGGGTCAGTTGTCTGCTGTGACCTAATTAGATCATCAGAGATGACAAATGCAACCCACGTCCAATCCCACCTGTCTGTCCTTCTGAAGGGCAACGCAAGAGTGTATCTCAAAAGTTTCAAGTAACAGGAGGTGTTGCTGAAATGAGGTTAAAAGGGAGGGGGAGGAAGTGGGCGGAATCACAAATAAAACACTGCAGTAAAAATGACATCCTTTATTGCAGAGGAGAGCGTGGGTGACTGTATTCCTTGCCTCACTGCTGGGAAAGGAGACAGTGACGAATGGCTCTATGCTTCTACAAAGGTCATTCATTGCTACTGCATCATTGCACTACACTACCCTTCCCTGTTTCAGCTTCAGCCACCTCCAATTCCCTCCGACAAAAGGGGTGTATTTCCCCTCCGTTCCCTCCACAGGATTGACAGTATGTGAGCCTGATTGACGCTGAATTTTCTCTGATTTCTCTGTTTGCATTTCTTTTTAATTCTTAGCATTTGAAATAATAATAGTTAATTATAATAATCCTTGCGTTTGGCACAGCGCTTTATCACGTCGGAAGGAAGCGCTTCGCAGGAATCACTCCGCAAATGGAGTGACTGCACGCTTAGGCAAATATACATTTAAAATGTTAAATGTAAAATGAAAAGGATCAGAAATAAAGAAATGGGCGATATAAGATTACAGGACTTTTTTCATTATACATTATACATTATACATTTCATTTTCATTATACATGCATTAAAAGGTACTTTTAAGTAAGTAGGAACCCGATTGTTGGTAGATTGCTTTTCCGGGGGTAGTAATTCCTTAAAAAAAAATTGGGTCACTCAATCCACCACTGTTCGTGGGACACTTCTGTGCCCGATTGACTGCCATGTTTTGCCCACAAAATATACAGTCAATTCACTTTACAGTATATTCTGTGAAGCGCTTTGAGACGTCTCGAAGACGTGATACGTCTCTATATCAAATGCAAGGATTATCATTATCACTTAATCCCAAGAAAACGGCCACAGTATATGTCTCCGGAGCTATCTATTCAGCACCATTGCAACCTACTTTTAGTTTGACATGAAACTGAATCCACCAATAGTGTCCAAGGTGCTGAACGAACCCAGAAGGTCCCAGTGCATAGCTGTGTTATCTGATCTCAGCGGGCGCAGGAGTAGGAGTACGCTGGGTTTAGTCTACATGTGTTAATTTATGGAGTCCTGTAGTTTAGTGGTTAGAGCACTCGCCTCACAAACGAGAAGATTTGTGTTCGATTCCCGGGCAGAGCGAAACCTTAGGCACATTTCCTTGCTCCACACACCCCTGTTTACTTAGCAGTAAGTAGGAACCCGGTTGTTAGTCGATTGGAGGATCGCTTTCCGGTGGTAGTAATACCAAAAAAAATAACACTCAATCCACGAATGTTTGTGGGCCACTGCTGTGCGCATTTGGCTGCTGCGTTTCGCTCCTAAAAATATAGAGCAAATTCACATTACAATATATTCTGTGAAGCGCTTTGAGACGTCTCAACAACATGATAAGGCACTGTATCAAATGAAAGGGTTATTAGATATAAAAGCAGGCAGGGGATCCCACTTCCGATCACTATTGAGCCAATCCGAGGTAAATTCTGAAACCAACAACAACAATAAATTATACTTGTATAGCACCCTTCACGTCGGAAAACATCCTAGGGTACTGGGTGTTTTGGATCAAACCAAGGTTTGAGGGCAGTTCAGGATGTAATCTGATACCAGACTGTGTTGGATTTGGGCTTTGATATCAAGTACCAATTGAATCATCACTTCATTAATGATGGAAGAATGATAATTCTCTCATTTCATACCATTCACTCCAGCTCACAATGCCAATGGAGGCAAACCAACATTGAACCCAGCATGTCGTGTTTCTTGCAGTGCCTTTATTCTTAGACCATGCTGAAGTTCCACGCTCTGGGACGCTACCCTGCATGAGGAGCCCTGGCTAAATGCAAGTTGTTGTTGAGTTAAGGGGAGAATATGAGTTTCTTCGTGGCATGTGGGAGAGGCTGAGGTTCAACCAGAAGTGGTTCGCCCGAAAGATATTAAATCTTAATTAAAACACGGCTGTTTGTGGGAAACTGCTGTGCGCTATTGCTGCTGCATTTCGCCCACAAGACATACAGTCAATTCACTTTATAGCATGTTCTGTGAAACGCTTTGAGACATCTCAAAGACACGATAAGGCTCTCTGAGACACTACCCTGTATGGAGGGCGCTATATGAGTGCAAGTTATTGTCGTACACCAAATGCAAGGATTATTATTATTATTATTAATTAAGGGTAATTGGAACTAAGAGAAAGATGATCAGCCATCAGTGAGACAGGGCAAAAATGCCTGATCTATCCAGGCTGACAGCTGATTCACTTGTAGACTGTGCTGAACCTGTGAATGATTGATAAGCTACATATCCTGCACTGTGGGGGCAGAGGGCACCACAGGCATTTTTCCACACTGCTTGCCAGTAATTATTTATGTTTGTAGAAATTTCATCGACCATCTGGGAGAAAAGAGAAAAATATTCAATACTTCAATTACAAAAGTGCTGTGCATTACGCTTCTGAGCCTGTTTGAGCCAAGCTGCTTTTAAGGCAGTGGGTTCCATGGTAATAATAACAATAATAATAATAATCCTTGCATTTGATATAGCGCTTTTCACGTCGGGAAGACGTCCCAAAGCGCTTCACAGAACACACTGTAAAGTGAATTGACTGTATATTTGTGGGCGAACGCGGCAGCCAATTGCGCACAGCAATGTCCCACAAACAGTCATAGATTGAAAATGACCAATTTATTATTGTTTTTGGTTTTGGAGGGATTATTATTAGGCTCTGTGTGGAGTAAGGAAACTTGCCCAAGGTTTCGCCCTCTGCCTGGAATTGAACTCAGGTCTCTCACTTGCAAAGCGAGTGCTCTAACCACTGAGCTACAGGACTCCATAATGTGGATGTGTCCATTAAACGACTATTCTCATTTGAGGATACTCACTCACACGCTACCCGGTCATACCTTAGTCTGGATTTTAAATGACTGTAACACCCAGTGGGTAAATTGTCTCCTCCATGCTGTTTTTTTTTGTGTACTTTATAAGCAGGCGAGTGACATATCGAGCAGTTTCCAGTTTGTTCTTTTAACATGAAAAATAGCAAAGTGACTCACAGACAGGTAATGTTTGTGCCATCCACTTAGCAGAGGCACAAATCCTTGTCAGATGTCTAATAATCCATTTAGGGACTATTCCCCGGGGGGGGGGGGGGGGGGGGGGATAGGAAGGGAAGGTGTGTGGCGTCTACAGCTTCTGAGGTTATTTGCCTGTCAAAGGAAGACTGGAATCTAATCTACAGCGGTATCAGGTGTCTGATACTTGAGCCAGTGCCTGAGGCCATTTTTGGTGGATCAGCCAGCCTGGCTCATTGGCAGGACTTGCAGGAGTAGATCAGTCACTGTGGGGGCGGGAATTGTTTCCGCAAGGCTCCTAATAATGCTGTAAACAAAAGCTCTAATGGGTAGAGTGGGCTTAACCGGATAAAGCAGGAAGCTTATTGATGCTCTGCAATGGTAAACCTCATGGTTTTAGCCGCTTGAACTCCAGTACACACTTTGGAGGTCACCTATCCTAGCAAGTTATAATAATAATCCTTACATTTGATATAGCGCTTTTCACGTCTTCTAGACGTCCCAAAGCGCATCACAGAATATACTGTAAAGTGAATTGACCGTATACTTGTGGGCGAACAAGTTGACAAGAGCCAAGGCTACGTCCCAAGAAGAACGTCGTTGAGGCGTCTCAAACAGGATTTACAGTAAAGCGGATTGATTGTGTGTTTTTGTGGATGAAACACGGCATTCAATTGCGCATAGCAATGTCCCACAAACAGCCATGGAGTGAGTGACCAATTTTATTCTATAATAGTAATCTAAAATAAAAGCTTGTCTTGGCATATGAGTCACACGTCATTTGTTGGCGCACAACAATAAGTGAGTGAGTTCATATCATCAGCCAAACATTTGGGGGGGGTGGGGGGAAGAGTTGGCTAAATGAAAATATTAAATGAAGCACTCTCACACCTCCTAGTGGTTGTTTGCAGAATGGCATTAATAGTGGCCTTGATGGTGGCTTGTCTGTCTATAACCAACCACTGGCTGGTACAGAGAGTGGGAGGTGAAGAGGAAAACAACAGACTACGGGTGGAGCTGACATCAGCCTCACTGATAGCGACACAGTAATAAGCAGGAGGTAACTGGGGTCTTCTCTTTAATTATACAGCTGGTTTGGAAATATAGGATGTCAGTATCAATACCAGGGTACCTATGAAAGCACCTTTGAGGAAAGCGTTGAGATTGTCTGTGACGGCCTCGCCTCCCCTATTTGTCTCTTTCAACCCCCGGAAAAGCCCACCTCTTGCCTCTAGCACTTAGTGATGGAGACAGCTGACTGACAGCTAGCTTGAAGGGTGCTATATAAACCCAAGTTATTGTTGCAGCCAGAGCAGTATAATCGGATAACATAATTTCTTCCATAATAAACTCTTTACGTACTGTATTAAAGACAATCGTCTTCACGAGCACAACCATAGCATTAAAGATGTGTAATAAGGTACGTGTTTTACTGGCAACTAACAACTGTGCAAATGCCAGGATAGCTTCCAAGATTTACTAGAATGTCAGGATTATTCCAAGGCGGAACTGAGCTGATAACTCATAAGTGGTGACATCACAGGAGAGCAATTATAAACATTTCAGGCATCATATTTAGTAAGCTTATAGTAATCAATATTTTCTATTTAAATCTGTACATTAATTTGTGCACCCATTTAAACAACTTTAATGACACCGTTCATTACTCAACAACTTGTGGCTATTTCTTCAAACACTCAACTAATAATAATAATAATCCTTGCATTTGATACAGCGCCTTATCATGTCTTCGAGATATCTCAAAACCCTTCACAGAATACACTATAAAGTGTATTGACTGTATATATTTTGTGGGCGAAACTAAGGGGTGATAAGGCAAGAAAAGGAGGAGATGATTGAAGGCATAACCGATGATTTGTTTCAAAGCAGGGAAGCCAAAGCGGTGACTCAAGCTTATTAATATTATTATTTACACTCTCACAAATCAAAGTGAATTTATCGTTGATCTGTAGAACCAGTCGATTTCCATTGGAGGGTGACATATTAATGGTGTTGATTATTATGTTGGTAATCCAATGGTCCTAATAGAACCACTGATCCTTCTGGTTGTTATTCTCCAGAGTTGCTGGTAACTTCGGCTGGAAGATGGATTAGAACCATAGAATAGTAGAATATTATAGCACAGAAGGAGTCCATTTGGCTCATTGCGGCTCTGCTGACTCTATGGAAGAGCTACCCAATCAGTCTCACTCCCCCGCCCTTTCCTCATAACCACTGCAAATATTTTCCTTTTCAAGTACCTATTGTATTACATCATTCATGCAATAAATGTGGAGTTTGTTGGAGCCCTGTCGTGTACTGGATAGAGACTCGCCTTGCAAGCGAGAGGACCTGGGTTTGATTTCCAGGCAAGGTGAAATGTTAGGCTGGTTGCATTCTCTGTACACCATTGCTTGCTCTCGCTCACATATTCCCAGCCTCAACTACATTCAACTTGTGAATTTTTCTCCTATTTATTCTGGTTTGTATTCTCTCCGCATTCAGATGAATTGTTGATTTATTTCATTTGGCTGCAGGACGTTTGCTGATGCAAATTAACTGCTGCAATTGCCGATGCAACTATTCATTCATTTCTAATTAATCTGCGTAAAGTGCTTTGAGACAATTTATTTTTATGCGAATGGTGCTGCCTAAATGTAAATTGCCTCTACTCAGCATTATTATTATCTTTGCATTTGATATAGCGCCTTATCACATCTCCGAGACGGCTCAGAGCACTTCACAGAATATTGTGTAAAGTGTAGTGACTATATTTTGTGGACGAAATCATGCACTCCCCAAATAAAGTGTAATGTTGTGTAACACTGTACAGTACTACAATTAAACTATGTTGATCATGGTCTGTCTGTCTGCCCGCTTTTGATGCTGATTTTTCTTCTGTTATGTGTGGGAGAGGGCTAAATGACTTGTTTGACCTTTATTCAGTTCCAGAGTTTGACCCGAACAAACTGTCCCGATTGGTGTTCACCAAACTCCACGAGATCTGCTGTAGCTGGGTCAAGGATTTGCCACTGACACGCCAGACGCATCCGTACTTCGAGACGTCTATTCACGCCATCAAAAACATGCGCAGGAAGATGGAGGACAAGCATGTGTGCCTGCCAGACTTCAACACGCTCTTCAATCTGGAGGTGAGAAAACTGCCACAGGCTTTAATAACAATAATAATAATAATAATCCTTGCATTTGATACAGTGCCTTATCACGTCTTTGAGACGCCTCAAAGCGCTTCGCAGAATATAGTGTGAAGTGAATTGACTGTATTTTGTGGGCGAAATGCGGCAGCCACTTGCACACAGCAACGTCCCACAAACAGTCGTGGATTGTGTGACCGACTTATTATTATTTTATTCAGTTACAGAGTTTGACGCAACCAAGCTGTCCCGAATGGTGTTCACTAAACTCCAATCGATAATGATTGGCTGCCGGGTTTTGCATACAAAACACACAGTCACTACACTTTACAGTATATTCCGTGAAGCGTTCTGAGACGTCTCAAAGACACGATAAGGAGCTGTATCAAATGCAAGGATTATTATTATTAATAACCTCCAGAGACTTCAATTGATGACCAGATGCTTGAAAAAGAACATTGAAGGGTTTGTGGCAGGACAGTTCATCCCTTTTCCTTTCACAAATACATATATATATTTTTGGAGGGCAGCCGGCTGTCTGACCCATGCGGAAACCCATCACCATGCTTAAGAGCATCCAAAACAAACTGAAAATTCCACGTATCCCACTTACACCTGGAAATCCCAGAGATTGACTTGTTGGAATGGAATGCGTGCTCTCTCTCGGGAGGGACACATCCTGTTTACCTAATTCGGTAAAGTATTATGTGCCGGTTGGCAAGAGCCAAAGCTCGGAGACCCCAGAGTGTGTGTTGGTTAACTACTGGAGCCTCACCAGCTAAGCGATATGAGCAAAGAACCTGAAATTTGGATTAATAATAAAGGGTGATAATACAGGGATCAGTGGCACTGACAGAGTAGCCTCCTTCTATGTTGCAAGTTTCTCTTTTTAATCCTTCTCCTTTTTGTCCTGAAGATCCCTGCTTCACTTACATATTTCTCCACATTGAATGGCTCCCCATGTTATGCTGGAGTTTTCATTTCAGACGCTGTTTCCAGGTGCCAGCTCAGAACACTGAGTGACCCAGATAAACAGCGGAAACCTCTGATGATTTGCATATGGCACAACAGCTGTTGTGGACAGAATCTTCAAAAGATTGTGCCCTCATTCATTAATGCACAGAACCGTGTTTCCCGGTGACTGGAGATTGAGTAGAGGGCTTGAGCAGCGCTGGGCATACTTCGCTTTGAGCTCTGCAAAGGTGGGGTGGGGGGGCAATTAGGCCAATTATAGTGTCTCAACTGCTGCCATTGCAAGAATTTTGGGGCTTTTTTTCTAACCAGGTTTCCCCCAAAAAACTATTCAAAAATCTATTGGGCTTACCTAATTGAAAAAGTGCAGCAGTACAATGAAAATAACCCCCTGGGTTAATAATAATAACAATAATAATATAATAATAATCCTTGCATTTGATATAGCGACGTATCAAGTCTTTGAGAACCAAAAGGACCAAAGGGGAGACGAGGAGAAATGCATTTACCCAGAGCATTGTTTTTACCACCTGAAAGGGCGGTGGAGACAGATTCGATAATAGCTTTCGTAAGGGAATTAGACAGGTACTTAAAAAGGAAAAAATTACAGGGCTCTGGGGTGAGAGCGGGGGAGTGGGACGAGTTGGTATCAAGGAGCTGGCACAGGCACGATGGGCCAAATGGCTTCCTTCTGTGCTGTAAGCTTCTTTGATCCTATATGAAGGCAAGTTTGGATAGAGAGGATGAGTCCAATACACAACAAATATTTAGAGACCTAATATACCCATAAAGGGACTGTTCCCAATTAGTGCAAAAATTGGGCGCTCTATTGTGTGATATAAACCGAAGTGAAAGGCGTGATACAAATGTAATTTTGTATTGTATTGTATAAACACCCTTCCTTCTATGTCAGGACCAGGAAGAACAGTCCTATTTTGCTGTGTTTGATGGGCACGGAGGAGTTGACGCTGCTATCTACGCTTCCATCCACCTTCACGTGAACCTGTATCGACAGGAGGTTTTTCAGGATGATCCCATTGAGGCGCTGTGTCGGGCCTTTCGTCTGACAGATGAACATTTCGTCCAGAAGGCTGCAAGAGAGGTTTGTGATTCCTTGTGCTGTGTAAAGCTGCTGTTTAGTGTCAGTCCAAGACACAGCAAAAGGTGCAGCGTTTCACACAATGCCTTCCCAATATTAGGCAGGCTCCTGAGTTACGGATCAAGCAAGTTTCTTTTCTCATAATATAGGAAAGAAGAACAATAACCTGGACTTAGGATAACATTTCACGTTGGATAACTGAAGTGTCAGAAGGCACGCATAAACAAGTAGGATTTTAATAGGGTTTTGAAAATAATAATGATCCTTGCATTTGATCCTTGCATTTTATCACATCTTCTACACGTCTCAAAGCGCTTCACAGAATATACTGTAAAGTGAATAGACTGTATATTTATTTGTGTGGGTGAAACGCGGCAGTCATTCGGACACAGTGGTGTCCGAATTGAAGTGACCAACTTATTATTTTTTTGAAGTAGTTATTACCCCCGAAAGAGATATCTCTGCCATTCGACTAACAACAGGGTTCCTATTTACTGCTAGGCAAACAGAGGCGTGTGAAGTAAGGAAACTTGTCCAACATTTCGCTCTGCCTGGGAATTGAACCCAGGTCTCTCGCTTGAGAGGCAAGTGCCCCAACCACTGAGCTACAGGACTCTGATGGGAATGGAGAAAGAGGGTGTGAAAACAGGATAACCTGAGATTCAGGTCTGGTAGCAAGACCATACAAATGGTGGACAGCATGGGGAACCTATATAGGGAGTCAGAAACCTATAGGGTAGGAGTAGGAAAGAGAATTGGAGCAGGATCTGGCAAAACAAGATTAAAAGATCACTGACCAGTAGTAACTAAGCAAAGTTTCTCTGACTCTGCCCAGCAATTCACCTTATCCTGAACCCTAACTGAATCATTACCCACATCAGCCAACCCTGTGGCATCTATGACTGAAATTGTGAATATAATAATGACGTTAGTGACAATTAGTGTTAGAATTGGCTGAAATCTGAGACTTCTGTCATCTGTCAACTGAATTGAGACTCACCAACCTGACTACACCTCAGCTAGGATTGTTGAGTCGGTTGTAATAGGATTAACTTGGACTTCAGTGGTGGAAGGCTAGAGTGCCTTAGGCAATCACTCTATATGTTTCCCCCTCTTTCCAGTGTGTATATCTCAGTCCTTGAAACCTATATGTGCTTCTAATTGGATTGTTTTCAGCACCTGAGATGTGGAACTACTGGTGTGGTGACATTTATCCGGGGGAACATGCTGTACGTGGCGTGGCTGGGTGACTCCCAGGTTATGTTGGTGCGGAGAGGGCAGGCGGTAGAACTGATGAAACCTCATAAACCTGATCGCGAGGTAAAGAGCCAAACAGCGACGTCTTTTTGTTGTTCTTGAAGCAGCAGATGTTCTTTCTCAACGTAGATTGTCAAATTGTTTTAATGTTCACCTGCAAATCACTTCATGCCTTTCTACCACTCAAAGCCTGATCGCACTCCACTCCTACACCACCCCACGCCCCCACCCTTCTCTGGTCTCCTGCACGTCCCTTATCCACTCAGCCCTACCATCAGCGGCTCCAGAACTCTGGAACTCCCTGCCTCAATCCTTCCTCCTTGTCCCCTCTTTGCCCATCTTCAGATCGCACCTCAAGATCTTCCTGTTCGACCGTGCCTACGGTCACCTTCTCCTCTCTCCCCAGCTTGGCATCAGACTCTGCCATTGTCAAACACTGCCAGACGCTACCTGTGTGGAGGTCACTACTCTATATAGATGCAAGTTGTTGTCATGTGCGTAGAGGTCCTCAGAGCAATGTGTGCAGCTCAAAATCAGTGTGGGTTTATTGGTGCAGAGCTGAAGCTTACATGAGCTGTTTGTCAGTGCCTTGACCTTGGGATGGTCCAATTTATGGACACGTACCGTGTGACATTTCCATTTCCTACACCAACCAATCGTTTATAAGTGAGATTGCCATTTTAATGAAAATGAATGCTGGAAAAATAACAACAACTTGCATTTATGTAACACCCCCTCGCGCAGCGTAGCATCCCAGAGCGCTTGATAGTGGTGGAGCACGACGACGATCTGGGGGGAGGGGGAGGCGTAGGCATGGACGAAGAGGAAGGCGCAACCCGAAGATGGGGAAGGAAGGGGCAAGGCGGAGGGACAGAGGAAGAGAGTTCCAGAGTTTCAGGTCGGAATTGGCTGAAAGCGCGGCCGCCGATGGTGGAACGGAGGGCACGAGGGACGTGCAGGAAATAGAGCAGCTTAAGGGTACCAAAGAAGGAAAAGGCAGCGCAAAGCAGCACAGCGCAGATAGAGCAGAATCCTGCACCTCCCCAGGTTCATTTTCGCCGTCCTTTATTCAATGACTTAGAGTGAGCTTGTGAGGTCAGGTAAGTGGGTCACTGTTGACCTGAACTGGTTCGGAAGAGAAGCATCTGGCAAAGCAGGGCAATAATCCAAGGCAGGCTCGCCTCACTGCCTATTAAGGAAACTACCCCATATTGCGCTGTGTGTACATTTACCAGCGGGAGGAGTAAACCTGCCCCTCCTTCCCAAATACCCTCAAGCAACAACTTCTGTCGCTTTTCTCTTTAGGTTCAAACAGCAACTGAGCTATTTTTTTTAATCAAACCAGGATTTTGTATCTCGTAAAATGCACTAGTCGGGTTTCAGACTTGGTTCTTGTGTTTTTTTTATCCGCCTCCTTCAGGACGAAAAACAACGTATTGAAGCCCTGGGAGGCTGTGTGGTCTGGTTTGGGGCGTGGCGGGTCAATGGAAGCCTTTCTGTTTCCAGAGCAATCGGTAAGTTAAACGGAGTCCCTCGCCGAGGCTCCTGTATCCTGGTAAAAAATGCTTTTTTTAACTAATATAATAATAATAATAATCCTTGCATTTGATATAGCGCCTTAACACGTCTTCTATACGTCTCACAGAACATACTGTAAAGTGAATTGAATGTGTATTTTGTGGGCGAAACGCGGCAGCCAATTCCGCACAGCAGCGTCCCACAAACAGTCGTGGATTGAAGTGACCAAATTATTACTTTTTTTTAAGGAATTATTATTATTAATGAGTATTTACGACTTAGTCACCAGCAGAGATTGCAGGACTGGGGTCAGGGTAGGGTAGAGCGACCATACGTTTGCGAATGGCAAATTTAGGGAACAAGCTCTCTAGGGAGACGGTGGAAGCAAAATATGCCGATTTATTTAAATACAAATTAGACAAGATTTCTTTGAGAAAATAATACTTTGGGATACAGTATACAAGCAATTTGAGACGTGGCCTATAGTAAGTGTAGTTTTCTTGTAAGAACAAGGCAACTTTGGATCTAAGGTTCCCAAAGCTTTTCACTCTGTTGTAATGTATGGATCAGTTAATCCATGTAGAATTAATTGCTATCATCATCTCCATTATTGTAGCCGGCAACCACCAAAGTGGTAGAAGGCGAACGAGATGGACCTTGGTCTTCTTTTGTCTAACAATTCCCACATTTCGCCCACAAAATACACAGTCAATTCACTTCACAGTGTATCCTGTGAAGCGCTTTGAGACGTCTCAAAGACGAGATAAGGCTCTATATCAAATGCATGGATTATTATTATTATGTTCCTATGCTTTTGCGTGCTAATTTTTAAAAGTATTCAGTGTCCGTGCTATCAGAGTAACACTGCAAACTGTTTTGACTCAGGGGATGCAGAGCACAAGCCGTACATTTGTGGTGATGCTGACGGCGGCTGCACAGTGCTGGACGGAACCGAGGACTACCTAATCATTGCCTGCGATGGCTTCTACGACACCGTGAACCCGGATGAGGCGGTGAAGGTGGTGGCGGATCACCTGAAGGAGAATAACGGCGACAGCAGCATGGTGGCCCACAAACTGGTGGCATCAGCCCGTGACGCTGGCTCGAGCGACAACATCACCGTCATCGTGGTGTTCCTCAGGGACCTGAGCGTGGTATTGGACACCAACAACGATTCAAAGTGGACGGAGAACTCGTTTGATGGGCCGCAGGGTGACAGTGGGGACGACAAGGAGAACCAAGGAGACTATAAAGGACCCTGGCCTCAACATCATGGCTCCGCAGCGGATCTGACTCAAGATACTCGCGAGGATTCGTTCACTGACAGAACTAGTTTATGTGTCGGTCCCCAAATTGTCCTTTTCCCTGACCAAGGTTCTCTCGATCTTACACGTACGGAGGCAAACACACTTCTGAGTGCCAAGAATTCTCTGTCTTCTCTGCAGGAATATCATCTGCACAAACCAAAGAAGGTAGATCTCCTGGGCAGTTGGCTTCCGTACAGACGCAGGGAGTTTGTGTCGGTAGCGCTCCAGTATCAGAAGCTTTCGGCTGTCGGCCGGATAAGGAGCCAAAAGCACAGCTTGGAGTGGCTGCTTCCCCTGTGTCTGGGGGCTGAGGGGAGACCGTGGAGGCCAGCAGGTCCTAGCTCGTCTCACTTGCACGTTGTCAAGAAGCGGCACAGACAGCAGTCAGGAGTGAAGCCAAAGCACCGCGCACTTCTCTTCCTCCGGCGGCCTCGCCACCAAACGGGAGCCATCGTGTCCGTCCTCGTGCAGAAACGCAGGGGCTCAGTGCAGTGGACGCCACGGCATAAAAAAGTGGTCCATATACGTTCCCCGGGGGTGATACCAGCTGTTAGTTGGCACAGACTGGGGGAGCCGACAGGACTGTGTGGGTCTTGTCTAATCGAACCACAATAACAATTCCACGCAGAGTTCCATTGTTATTAGGCAGTGGTTCTCAAGGTCCTCCGATCTCAGACAATCCTCACCTCACTAGCTTAACTGTAATAACTTAGTTTCCATGTGACCTGATACTCTGGCCAAGGCTTAGTTAGGAGCCGAAGGCTGTTAAATAAAGGTCAAGCATGCCACAAAGCCCTGGGAAAGGAAGAACTGCTTTCTGTAGACTGAGACATTTTCACGTAGAGCAAGTTTCTAAGAATTGTACGTTACTGTCAGAGCTCAGAATAAACTCGAGATGATGAGCCAAAGTTCATTGGGAGGTGGGGGTGGGGGCAGGAGGATGGCAAGGGAGAGAGTAGGCTTGAAGTTTCAGTTACCTTTGTTTTCCTTTGCTTACACAACACCCTAAACACTTAATTCCCTCTGCCCTCACCTACATCACAGATGCCCAGCACCCCCCACCCCCAGATTGGTATGACCTACACCACCCACTGTTCCATCTCTCCTTCTCCCTGGTGACCACCACGACCTACTCTTTCTCCCCCACCCCCAAGGTGTAACCTATGTTACACGCTGCTCAGCTTGTTCCCTTCTGCAGTATTGCCCACACCAGCCAACACAGTTGCAGCTCCTTATTCAACAACACTCCGGGTGGTGGAGTTTTGAATTACTTGAATTTAGTGTATGGTGGAGCTGGGGAGACCAGTGAGGAGGGGGTTGGAGTAGTCCAACCGAGAAGTGATCAAGGCACGGATGAGGGCTTCAGCTGTGTTGGTTGTGAGATATGGATGGAGGCGGGCAATGTGGCCAAAGTGGAAAAAAGCAGTCCTGGTTAGGGAACGGATGTGGGGTTAGAAAGGGAATTGAACCTAATGCCCAAGTTGCGCACGGGTTCGGAGAGTCTGAGGGAGAGCCCGAGGAGGTTGAGGAGTTCAGACCCACAGGAGAGAAGACATTGATGGGAGCCAAAGAGTATGGCTTCCAAAGGTGCTTAAAAATTAATAATTTGAAGGTTTATGGGGTAAGAGCGGGGGAGTGGGACTAGTTGGTAGCTTGTTCAAAGAGCAGACACGATGGGCCGAAAGGCTTCCTCCTGTGCTGTAAAGTTTTATGATTCTCTGATTTCCCAGCCCTGCGGATCAGAGAGCTAGCAGTCAACACCTCCCTCCCGCCCCATCAGTGTCAGTCCCAAACAGACACAGCATGGTACCTGACAGAGGCCTTGGGATGATGCTCTCACAGTTCTGTCCACTACCTGTGGTTTAGTGCCGGAGTGAAGTCCAGGGTTTGCCGCCTACAGGAACTTGGGCTCAATAATAAATAATAATAATAATCCTTGCATTTGTATAGCGCTTTTCACGTCTTGATATTTCACATCGGGGACTAATATATGTGGCAATTAGTAACAGGTTTCTAATTATAATAATAATCCTCGCATTTGATATAGCGCTTTTTCACATCTTCTCGACGTCTCAAAGTACTTCACAGCATATACTGTAAAGTAAATTGACTGTATATTTGTGGGTGAACGCGGCAGCCAATTACGCACAGCAGCGTCCCACAAACAGTCGTGCATGAAAATGACCAATTTATTATTTTTGTTTTGTTTTTTGGAGAGATTTTTATTAGGAGTGTGGAGTAAGGAAACTTGCCCAAGATTTCGCCCTGACCTGCCGGGAATTGAACCCAGGTGTCTCGCTTGGAAGGCGAGTGACTCCCATCGGAACCTCATGCTACTCGTGGGAGCTTTAAGATCACTTCTGCGCAGAATTCCCAGGGTGATGGTGACGTTCTTCTGCTGACCAGTAGAAGTTATCATCAGATAGACATAGTGTAGCATAGGCATGTTACACAGAACTGAGGACCTAGTTTGTTTACAGCAGCACGTGCATAGACATTTCATACAGATGGCCCGAGGGCTGTTTGTCATCCAGTCCTTTTCAGCTGCAGCCCTCCACAGAGGCTCTCCTGCGCCTTGTTCAAATGGCCAGTCTTCACGGGGGAGTCCAGACAGTGAGAATCTGCTGGCTATGTGATGGAGGGAGGAGTGGGGTGGGGGAGGGATGTAACATTGGGGCACAATTGTGTTCTCTCTTAACATTGACACACACACCAATCCATTGGGGGCAGTGGAGGACTCTACCATGAATCAGCTGACCTCACAAATTGGGGACAGTTAAGAGTCAAACCTGAGAAACTGGTATTCTGTGCAACTCAGTTCTAGCCTGATCTTATATGAGCTGAGCTATGGTGCTGGGTTTGTTTATGGGGGACTCCCGTAGGTTAACTTTCTTTGCTGGAGGTCTTAACGATCCTGTTTTTCACATTCAGATCCCTGTGAATCTACAACCAATTTTACAAGCAGTTGAACAGTTAATACTATCAGAAGCAAACCGGAGCCCACAAGAGCTCTTGCGAAGGATTGATTGATGAGATGCTCAGTGAGCAAAGGCATTCATTCATTAATTCATTCATTCATTCATTCATTCACTGCCTCATGAGGCTCGGCAAAAAACTCCTCGAAACTCGTCATCTTGTTTAGTGGGTCCCAGTGGAAGGCTGCGGCTTTTATTCTCAGGAAACATAATTGAGGTAGAAATAGTTGGGAACAAGTTTGTTCCGAAAGATGCCACGAGAAGTTGGTACATGGGGAGGAGGAGAAAGGGAGAGGAGTGTGAGCTGTGTAGCCTTTAGGTCATTCCGATCTGCCACCACTAGTGGGTGGGCCTTCAGCCTTTCTGTCCCCACCCTCAACTCCATCCCACTGTCCCTCTGCCTCACCCCCTCCCTTGCCACCTTCAAGACCTGTCTCAAGACCCTCCTCTTCAACTGCTCCTTCGGTCACCCTCCTACCCCTACCCTCCACCCCTCCTGATCCCAACCACCAGCTTGTGTGTGGCTCCCTAACTGTCCAACGACTTGGGACGTCCTCCTGACATAAAAGGCGCTGTAAAAATTTAATCTGTTGCTGCCAACCACATTCAGGATGGGCATGTTACACAGAACTTGAGGACCTAGTTTGTTTACAGCAGGAATAGAGGAGAGAGGGAAGGTTATACGGGTAGAATTGCTTGCTTTACCCGGTGAAAGCACTTTCCCTGCAAGCTCATGGATCATCAAGTAGATTTAGAGATACCTATGCAGCCAGACACGCCCCAGGGCAAAAGGGGTTGAATTGTGGGTGGTGGGTGGGGGCGGGGGGAAATCAAACAAAACTAAATTAGTAGAGAATATAAAGTTCTACAAGTGTCTATTTCTCAGTTTACAGAACCCAACTAACCAATAATTGTGATTTGAGTGCAATCCGTATTGTAAGTATTTACGTGTCTCCAAGATAAAGCCTTTTGTATACAGGTATTCAGACGATCAACTCCCTTAAGGCTTTTCTTCTTACACTTCAGGTTCTTGTAATAGCTCACATTTAATAGATGTCCTGGGTATTATAATATAACATTTAGGAGCAATTTAACAGGAGGTAAATTCTACACCAAATACATCATGGTAGGATCCCATTGAATTCATGAGTTTACTGATAGCTTACTGAAATTTATAAAGAAATCCTTTTAACAAGTAATAACTCTGTTAGGTGTACGATGCACTAGATTCTTGGTTTATTATATATCTCTACTGTTCAATATACGGTATCTTTAGGAGTCTAATCATACAACTACATTTGACCATTCTATCCCTGAACTTGTAACCGTTCGGTCCAATTATAAACCTGAACCAATACTCACTCTACCCCTGGACCGATACTTGCCACTGCATTGGAATCTCTACTGGAAGGATTCCACAGTGGCAGGAATATCTATACATGTACCAGATCTCGTGCAATCCATTATCTATTGCGGTTTGGTTCTAGCCTGATATGTTTTGCTGTAATTCTGCACCTGAGTTAGACTAATTCTACACCTGTAGAGGTATCTGTGTGAATCAATCTGATACTAACATCCACTGGACAGATTATACACCTGTAGGAGTAACTGTACTAATCTGATTTGACGCTCATACTGATTCCATTAGAACAACCATTGCTTTGTGGAAATGCGTTGTTTAAACTAAATGCCACTGTTGGTAGCAAGTAGTCCTTAATCGGTATGAATTCCTGTGCCCTTATTTGCTGCTTGCTGAAGTAAGCAATAAACTACCCCCCCCCACCCCCCCCGCCCCTGCCCCCCCCAACCCCTCAGTACTGGTATTTACTTGTTCTGTACCTCGTAATTTTTAATGATGTTATTTCTGGTGACAATGTAAAAGAACATTCTATATAAAGTAAAAAGCTGAAAAAAACTATTGTAACTATAACCCGTTGAAGCTGATGTTAAGTCCTTGTACGTTTTCGTGTTTTATGTAACATTCATTGTGTATTTTAAGTCGTGGAGCACTTTGTATTAATATAAACAAGAGTTGATAAGCCTTTACTTGTTGATTAAAGGGACTGGACTAGTTTGCTGAGACCTTATTTTCACACTGGATAAGTATAATGTTGGAAGGGGGTAAGGGTTGCTCTCTGTTGATCAGCTTTCTGAATGATACATTCTACACTGCTTTTCACAACCGAACATAGCTCAGTACGTCACAGCCAACGTAGTGACTTATTCAGTAAAGAACGCAGGTGTCTTTCTGGTGACGCCACAGGGTATGAAAGGCTGAGTGATAGGGCAAACAAGGAAAATCTACGTGATGTGATTACTGATGGACATTGCTTAATCTCTCATTGGTGGAGGCAGCCCTTCAGCACAACGCTCCAGCTTAATCTTTGCAAGGAATAATAGTTCCTTGAGATCTGTCCTCATCTCCAACGGCAACGCAGGGCTCAAGGGCGATACATAAGATGACATTGACCTCTAGTGGCAGAACATCAGATACCATTCTATGCTTTTTAAAATAAATATTTCCCCCGTCGTCTCCTTCAGAGAGAAGTTGAGAATCAGTCTCTTCATAATTTAATACGAGAGACAACTCTGTACACAGTTTTTGCTCTCGAACTGCCTGTAACCATCTGCTCTCCAGCATAATTCAGGGTAATGAGTGATGATTCAGAGACACCAGCAACACTACAGCTAGCAGTACACAGTACAGTAACATAATAGATAAAATTATATTTAAAAAAATGAAAAAATGGAGCAGGATCAATAAATATCAGCCTGGTGCAGTTGGTAGCACTCTTACCTCTGAGTGGGAAGATTGTGGATTCAAGCCCCACATCGGGACTTTGAACTCACAGTCTTGGCCAACACTCCGTTGAAATGCCCAGGAGTGCACTGTAATATTGGAGGTGTCACACCTTGGGATAATATGTTAAACCAAGGTTCCATCTGTCTGTTAAGATGAGTGTTCAAAAAGAGGAAAGAGAAGGATTTTCCCCAACACTCCCCAGATAAAATTGGTGACTCACTTCACAAGGTGTTTGTGAGATATTATGGTGCACAAATTGGCTGACACGTTTGCCTATAAAATAAAGTCACCATACATTACAGTAAACCCGGTGGAATGCTTTGAGATGGACTCCAAATGTGAAAGGTGCTATCAAATACAAGGATTTTTATTATAAATGTGGTTATAGAACACACTTCATTGACTTCATATATATGGCAATATTACTCTAAGTTGAACCAGAAATGGGACAAAAGCACATACATGACATTGAAAAGACAACACTACTTTTGAAATTGGTATTAGGAAGAATTTCTCACTCAATAACGAATGAACATTTGGCATGGCCTATGGATGGGTTTACGTACCACAAGGTGGGCAAATCTTCCACCTCTTAATTATTTTTCTCCTGCTTTGGATCTTGTCGCACAATGTCGCTTGGTTGAGTGAATGATTTCCTTCCTGGTTCCTGCCGACCTGTGCATTCAATTAAGTGGAAAACGGGAACCTGGAGTGTATCAGGTGTTGACTGCTGAGAGACAGCAAGATGCAGACCCAGCAGAAACGGTTAGCAGTGAAAGAAGAATCTGGGGGCAGAGGCTTGGATAGCTGTCAACCAACTCATTGGATGTGATAGTCACCCCAACCCCCCACAGTGAAATTACCCGGCCAACACTCACCATAAAACTTCACACATAAAGACAGTCCGTTGGGTGAGAATTGTATCCAGTATGAATCAGTGCCTTCTGGAGAAGAGGGAAGAAAATTGAAGGGAGGAAACCTGACTTGCAGTAATTGAATCAGAAAACCATCTGTTATCCTATACACATATACACACACAAACAAATGCAGAGTCTGAGAATGTACAAGAAAATTGAGAAAAATAATGTTTTAATTTTTTTTATATGACGAGGACCAGGGCACTTTCAATCTTAAACATTAGGTAAAAGAGGCACGAGGTCTCATTGCCATCCATTAACAACAAAGATGTTCATGTTGGTTCTGCATCAAACATCGGTGACTCATCTCTGAGGTATGACTCACGCACATCTTTAAAGGAAAGTTCCAGCCTGCAGAGTGTGTGACAATTTCAGAAACAAAACCCTCTGGGTTAAAAACTTCCACTAAGTATTCTGTGGAACAAATGAACTTTGTTTCTCGAAGCAATGCAATAGAAACTTACATTTGTATTGCGCCTTTCACGTGAGGAGGACATCCCAAGGTGCTGGACAGTCAGGGAGTTGGACCCAATATCCAGTGAGGATTGCATAGGTTGAGATGCCTCGCTTTTATAAATATATTAAAAGAGAATGGTCAAGGGGAATATGGGTCCAAAAAGACTATGTGAGACTATGTAGGTGAGACTATGATGGAAAATAAGGAAATGGTTTACTTGTTAAATAAATTCTTCACTACTGTTTTTACAGTAGAGAATGAGGACAAAAATTGCCAGCAGTACAGGGGAATCTAAAAATAAGTCAAAGAGAAATGCTTAATAAAATGAATATAAATAAAAGAATTATAATGGAGAAAATAATGTGACCCAAGATAGACAAATTTCAAGGACCTGATAGGTTCACACACGGGGTGTTAAAGGGAATAGGAGAGGAAATTGCAGATTCATTCATCATAATTTTCCAAAGCTCACTAGATTCGGGAGTTGTGCCCTTAGATTGGAAAATTGTGAATGTCATACCTTTATTTAAGAAGGGAGGGAGGGAGGGAGGGAGAAACCAGGAAACTACAGACCTATCATCCTAACGTCAGTTGTAGGGAAAATGCTGGAATCCATCATCAGGGATAGAGTGACTGAACACTTGGTAATTGGTGGGAGGCAGGAAGCAAAGAGTAGGGATAAAGGGAACCTTCTCTGATTGGCGGGACGTGACAAGTGGTGTCCCCTGGGTGCTGAACCGGGACCTCAGCTATTCATCATACATGTAAATGACTTGGATGAAGGAACAGAACGTTTTATGTACACGTTTGCAGACGACACTGAGCTAAGAGGCTCAGTAAATTGTGCAGATGGGAGTAGGAAGTTACAAAGGGACTTAGACAGATTAAGTGAGTGGGCAAAGCTGTGGCAGATGGAGTTCAATGTAGGGAAGTGTGAGGTCATTCACTATGGACCGATAAAAGATAAAGCAGAATATTTTCTTCATGGGGAGAAATTAAGAACTGTGGAGGAGCAAAAGGATTTGGGCGCCCATATTCACAAATCACTAAAATCTAGTTCCCAGAGGCAAAAAGGAATCAAAAAGGTGAACGGAATATTGGACTTTATCTCGAGGGGTCTGGAATACAAAGGGGAAGCAACGATGCTTCAACTGTATAGAGCGTTAATCAGACTCCATCTGGACTCTGCGTTCAGTTTTGGGCACCACACCTCAGGAAAGATATATTGGTCCTGGAGGGGGTGCAGCGTAGGTTCACCAGAATGTTACCAGGCCTAAGAGGGTTAAGTTACGAGGAAAGTTTGCATAAACTTGGCTTGTAATCCCTTGAATTTAAAAGGTTGAGGGGTGATTTGATGAGGTATTTAAGATGATAAAGGGATTTGATAGGATAGATACAGGTAAGCTGTTTCCTCTGGTGGGGGGGATCCAAAACAAGGTGCCATAGTCTTAAAATCAGAAGCAGACCATTTAAGAGTGAAATCAGGAAGCATTTTTTCACTCAAAGGGGGGTAGAAATCTGGAATTCTCTCCCCCAAAAGGCCGTGGATGCTTGGAATACAAGCCACACCTTCAAGAGTGAGGTTGATAGATTTTTGGTAGGTCAGGATATTAAGTAATATGGGGAGAAAGCGGGAAATTGGAATTGAAAGGATTAGTTGAGGTACAGATCAGCCGTGAGCTAATTAAATGGCGGAACAGGCTCCAAGGGCTGAATGGCCTCCTCCTGTTCCTATGTCCCATGGTCAAATAACTTGCCTATGCTCACCATCTGGGCTCACACAGGCAGTTGCAATACATACAGGAGGGTGGCTAGTGTCTGTGGAACTGTGCCCCAACTCAAGTTAGCACCATTCAGGAGAGGAGGGGAAGAGGGGAAAAAATATAAAAATAAGATCACCAGCAAACTGCGGAACACATTTCTTTTGTAAGCAAGAAAAGTGTGAGCAAGATCTGGCAATAATATACTAATCCTTGCATTGATATACCGTCTTATCACGTCTTCAAGACGTCTCTTCACAGAATATACTGTAAAATGAATTGACTGGATGAAACACGGTATACAATGGCACACAGCAATGTCCCATACATTTGGTCACTCAAACAGCCATTTGTGGGACACAATAATTCCACACAACAATATGTTGTGAAGCAGAAGGAAGTGTGTCTAATTTTCTACCTAATTAAGAGCAGACCTTAAAGTGGTTCATCGGAATCGTTGGCAGCAATTTATCACCAATACAATATCAGGAAGGTGTCCTCATGGCTGAACTATTGTGGAAGCTGAAGAGAGAGCGCGAGAACGAACTGTGCATTTTAAATGTATTTTCTCCAGCCACATGTGGATCATCTCCGTAGTGACCGTGGTGTTTAAACACAAGAAAGTGTAACAACTATCCAGTTACTGTTGTGCATATCTGATGATAGCTGGTCCCACCACCAACTTGGCTCAGACAGAATGATCTCCTCTCACTATCCACAGGCTGTCTGGAAATGGGGGTCAGAGCACAGCTGGAGTGAGAGGATATGGCTGAAGGTTGCTTTGCTCCACCTATAATAAAACAGTCATACTTTCATATCTGTAGTATGCTGCTGCTGTTTGAAGCTATTTTTAAGGAATTACAAGGCAACAACATTACATTCAGATCTATCCCCAAAACATTTGGTTCCCCAAAACATTTGGTCACTCAATCCACGGCTGTTTGTGTTTGTCAATCCACTGCTGTGGGAAAAGTGGCTGCAGGGTTTAGTCAATCCACTTTTCAAGATGTGATAAGGCGCAACATCAAATGCAAGGATCATTATTATTAAGATACAATTATAAAGCTATCACGCCTTTAATATCATATCAGGTAATGTTATACCTTGTACTTGTGATTTTCTTGAAAGCCTCAGTGGTAAGATTAACTGAATAGACCATCTTGAATTAATTTGCCGGTTTAAGAACTGTACAATAAGCTGTAGTAGGGGTCTTCGTTGCTGCATATATTAAACATTACTGACGCGCAGTCCCCACTTTGTGTGTGAGCCTAGAATGTCAGCAGGACAGGGAGGGGAGGCAGATCAGCTCTGCCTGATCCAGCCCTCACCAGACTTCCAAAGACATGCTCCTTCCAAAAGGCATCGGAGGATTACAATCAGAAGGAACGTCTGAGTCTAGTCAGAGATCATTTACAGGACCCCTTTCTGTCGTATCAGCGAAACGTTTCCCCCCCTCCCCACTATACTATCACAGCAATTACACGACATGCTGAACAGTGCCGGTACAACAACATACGAGTAAATTTCAACACTTTGTACAAAAGTTCCTCATGTTGGAATTTCTACTTTTCCTTTAAGTACTTCAAGAAAATAGCAGCTCAAAGGGCTCCATCAAGTGGCCAAACTAAACACTGGCAGGCAGGTTTCTTCCCTCATTATTTTTCTATGCATTCCTCTTCTGGGGATATTTTAGCTCTTTTCTCCTTGAGAGGCAATTTCGAAGGTTTTAAATTTTGCTTAGCATTTACTATTCCCGGAAGAGCCAGTATTTAGTTTCATCTCATTGCAACTTTAAGCCCAGGTCTTTAGTTTATGAAGACAAACAGCTGACCTTCCAGATTTCTTCCACTACCTCGTACCAGAAGATCGTGTGGTCGCACCTCACATCAGCACATTACACTGTTTGGGGACTGATACACCAGTGCAGTGCTATTGGTGCCTGGCGTTGTCAGAGGTTACTTATTTAGATACCCAAATCAAATGCATTTAAAAGCATTTCCACAAGTTTTTCTTGGGAAGTGTGCAGACTTCATATTAAAATTCTTTCATATTCCAGTGGAATACATTGCATATCATCAGATTATAATAAATATACCCCCGTGAGATGTAGAGTGAAGGATGGAAGTTGCTGTGGTTATAAATCTTCCCAAGGATCTCAAACCTCCTAAACAAAACCATTCCAAATAAATTGAATCCATTTTATTAACAAAAAGTGCAAGAAATGTGATCATGTAAACACCGCAGAGATATTAAAAAGCAAACATTGAAAACATTACAAAAACTGCAACACATGGTTTCTAAACAGTACTTCACAGTGCAAAATAGGGACACTTAAGCCAAGACATTTACATGCATCACAGAAATAGGGTTCAAGATGGACTACATTTCAAGCAGGCAAAACTGTCAAATGTGTTACATTAATATTCAGGCTTCCACTACAGTACGTGTTAGATTTTCAGCATTGGGTACAACTGATTGATTGTGCCTCCTGTGAGTTTTTGCTGGAACTGTGATTCACAATTGGGTGGGTTCAGTCACTGTACAGCATTCCAGAAATCCACAGAAACAAGAGCTCGAAAACTCAAGTTTGCAAAGGGAACTCTTCGTAGAATGAAATACAGTATTACACAAGTTCAAATACATCACATAGCTGCAAAATACACAATGGGATGATTTTAGTACAGAAAGTAAACGGCTCAATGCAATATGTGTAACCACGCACTCTCACCACTTACTGGGACTACTGCACAGTATATTTTCTGTTCTGCACCCTTTCCATATTGTTAATGTTGGGTATTATTAACTTTATTATAAAACAGCCTATTATATGCAGAGCTTTTTAAAATAAACAGACAGCAAGGCGTCCCAGCTACTCCAAAACATCCATTGACAATTCATAAGTACAGCTATATGATAATCCTTGCACTGGATCATGCTAATAACATCTAAACATCTCAAAGCACATCACAAGTAATTGCTGTAAAGTGTAGGACTGTAGTTGTAGGCAAATGCTGCAGTCAATGTGTGCACAGCGGGTGCCACAATAAGTCATGAAGTGGATGACAAATTTATCTGGAGGTTTGTTGGTCAGGGCACTGGGAGAATCTCCTTTCAAATTGTGTTGTGGGATCTTTAGTCCACCTGGTCAGGCAGTCAAACCTTGTTTCATCCATATATTAAAAAAAAAGTTGGGAGCACATCAAATTCACATATGCAAAACCCAAGAATTTATGCAAGATTTTTTCTTCAACAGAAAGGCACAAGATCTGCAAGTGAGCAGTGTTAAGGAAGTCTATAAGCCTCTAGGGAATTCCCTGAGGAAAAACAGTGGTTTGCACTACTGAGGTACATCTAATATTCAACATTATAAAATTGACCGCCTCTTCAGTTCTGTTGTAGGAACAATATGAGAGCTGAGAGATCTAGATTAAATCGGTCATACAAAACATCTAAGCAAAGACAACAAATATTCAGATTCGAAATAAATTAATGTGGAAGAATGTTGTTGGAAGCTTAACTCTCTACCTCTGGCCTAGAAAAGATTCCAGCATGACTAATAGTCACAGACAGGTACAAAATAAATGATAGATGGGAATATTAGCAGCGGCAACACTTCCAAACATTCTATAATGTGCAGTTTTCAGTTTGCAAAGTTTTCCCTGGAATTCAGAGACTCAATGACCAGCACTTTATAGAAAACAGTGTCACATCAGGGTATAAACGTACAGATAATGTAAGCGTTTTACTGAGAAATACTACTTTCTCTAAAGAATATGCTCACAATCATGCATTCTCTTCAAATCTACATTCTTAACAATAGCAACCCAAGGCCAATAGGGAAAATGACTGCTGCGTTTGGATATCAAACAGCTGCAGTATGAAGGTTCGGTTTAATAGAATGGCAGTATGGACCACTGGGTAAAATACAGCTACATCAATTTACAGACTTCACTAGTTGGGGGTAACTTTGTTAAAATATTGATCATTCGGCTAAAGGGACAGACAAGACAGACATATGCTGTTGCAAACTTTAGGATAATCCATATGACCCTCAATACCAGGCATTATTTGTTCAAAGCTACATTTTACTACCACTTCACTTTGCATCCATTACATCTGAAACTAGGAATGTGGAAATATGCGACCCTTTACCTTATGTATGTGTATGTAGTTTTATTTGGGATATTTAAACAGCATGAGGTTATCCCCAAATAGTAACACATCGTTACTATATTATCCCGTTTGACCAATTGGAGCTTTATCCATTAGCCTGAATATTTTACGGGCATTAAATCAGCAGCAAAGGTTTTATAGCACATTTAACGATATGCTTCAGAAGTAGCACACAGTACTGAAGCAACAATGCATTGTTGTTGCAGAGTGGTAGGATAGTGCCATCAAGCAGACGTAGATCCTACCCTGCAAGGGTTGGAGTAATCGTGATCAGCTTTTGCATACCTCCCAGCAGTCAGAGGAGAGAATGAATTGCCAAATGTATGGGACTTGTGGAAGTTGGATCACTCTTTTGTATGAGATGGGATGAAGATCTTTATACTATAAATCCTCGCTGCACAAATTGATTCTACCCAGGTTCTTAAATCTAAACAACAAGGTAACACTGTACTGAAGAGATCAAGCACCTTCATTCGAGTTATGATATTGTTGATTACTCATAAATTATGTTGTATTGCTATTAATGATCGTCTCAGCCAAAAGCAAAACCATGAAGTAAGATTACTGGTAGTTCACTGCACTAAATGACTACATCACATCCGATGGCGTACAAGCACACTTATAGTTTTAAGTCTAACATAACATTTGGACACTTTTCCATTCTGCAACCATACACTGGTTAGTATACTTGTGAATGAATGTTGCAAACTCATTCACTTATATGCTGTTTATAGCCAACATTTTATTGAAGTGTTTATTTGGAAAACAGACATTCTGCAGGCAGTTTAATTTATGGGAGACATTTTGAAAAGGCTGCTATACTGCAGCTTTCCATTATAGTAGAGCACAAGATTTGAACTGGAATTTTTGAAGAAAGTTATTATCAGCATAGTTAAACTTCTCATTCTACACACTACAACATATTTTAACATTTCTCCTTTATCACATAAATACGTCAAGAAACCAAAATTTCTAATAAATACTGCTAAAAATTCAGAAAATGTGGAAATCAGAAAGAGGGATGGAAAACAAAGATGGGGAAGTTGACTCAGTGGGTTGGCACACCTTAGACAAATGGGGTGACATCTTGTCTTGTGTCTGTAAGGGGTCAGGTAGTCTTAAGGTGGCACAAACAAGCACCTCAAAACTGCCAATACGGTGGCACTAAAATGACAGCAGCACCAAGAGGACTTAGGTGGTCTTGGGTGGGTAATACAATACAGGACTTTTACAATCGGTGTGATCTTAAGGTTGGGGTTAAGGCACCTGACCTGAAAGTTTTTGACACTGACACCGGGTGCTTCAAATAAGAGTGTTCCTCAACAAATCAACCTGCTGCTGTTCATACATCTTCTCTGAAGGGGAATGTTGAATTACAAATAGTCATTGATCCCAATTGTGTGATAGGCTAGGTACATCAACCAAAACGTCAAATCTTGGATCCAGTAATGATTTCAGCAAGCTTGGTGCTTGCATTGTATTAGGTAAAAGAGCATCACCTCACCATCAGCAACATATAGGCATTATTACTATTTGATCATGTTTTTTTTCCCTTTTGGCACTGGATTGGTCTGCTGCTAGGCTGAGACAGATTACAGGGCATGGTTTTGTACAGGGTATGTGCAACTATAGCCTCAATTAGCTTTCAAGGGAGTATTCAGCTGATATGAACATTGCTCTATCCACAGCCATGATTTAAGAGCTAACAACGCATTGATGAATGGGGGAAAAAAAAATCCAGTGCAGCCTTTACTGGGAACACTGTACCAGTGTACAATGGTGTGTAGTTGTAGTATGTGATTAATAAACAAGCATCAGTTTCACACAAAAAAATATCTCTTTTATCCTATTTATGAAAGTTGGGAAGATTCCTTTAGTTTTCCCCCATTCTTGACCATGTTAGCTTAAATGTGGTTCCCTTGTTTGTCTAGGTTGTGTAAAAATGGCATCATCCCAGGACTTGGGTCCTTTTGTTCTAAAGAAAAAAAAGATCATTAGAAAAGAGAAAAAAGAATCAGCAGAAAAGTGTATTCTTGTTGCATTATTTCCCTCATGGTATAGTTAAAGAGTCTCAAAGCTCTTCATTGTAGTTCTGTAATTAGTTGCTGAGAGATAACAATTCTCCCTTTGTCAAGGTAAGGAACTCGCCAGGCTCCACTTGGATTTTCCACTGTTAAGTCTCCCCCAATACGTTGCTATACAACATTCACTCACTCCTATAAACACACATAGCGACCAATCACTATCCTACCCTTGACGTTCCACCAGCATAGCGTTAAGAACTAAGCACAACAAGCAATTTCATCAAACCCCCAGGGTTCTGCATTTGACTATTCCACAGGCCTAATTGGTCTGAACAGATAATTCAAATATTCCGACAAAAGTATTTTTTGACAAAACACCACGTGATTTTACTTGATAAATCAGAATCTTCATATACTCTTGTGGAACTTAAGAGTTTAGTAATGGGGTTTATACAATACAAAGGGTGAAATTAGCACTGTTATTGACTTACCACTCATTTGTTTCTCCTCTAACAAAACTGGCATCTTCAGAACTCACCAAATCACCTGTATTAAAACAAAGCATATTGTGAATCTCACTTTCCTCTTTGGAGACCTCATCGTTCTTCTAGTTTGGAGAGTGGTGGGTTAGTGGGTCACATACTTTCTCATGGCTTCAGAAGTCTGCATCAATGTCAAAATGGCTGGTTTGAGAGTTCCCCTGAGGTGAAGTAAAGCACACTGCAAATGGCTCATTACTAAGAATTTTCAGTAAATGTTAGATTATCAACACATGCTGTAACTCAAACCAATATGCACCAATGGGACTTGGGCAAGTAAATTACCTCTACATCAACTATCTCCCAGAATTTTGATTAACTTGTCTAAGCTGCCATTTTTTCAATAATTATAGCATTGACTGTTAGAGACAATTTAATTACAAACTTTTTTTAAAAAAAGTATACATTTCAACATGTTGTAGAGTTCTAGTTTGGGTGCTTTCATACCTGAAGTCTGGGAAGTGAAGGAGTGGGTCACAAGCTCTGTAGGTGTGATTTCTTCCTGATCTTCGTTCTCTGTGTCAGATTCACTGTCAGTGCTCATCCCAGGCAGCAACTGAAGAACCTGCTTCTGTAGTGTCACAACTATGAAAGGACAATTCAAGAGTCAGCATTTCCCATCTAGACTTACTCAAAAAAGTCCATTGTATTAGCACCATGAAGTTCAAAAGCTACACATAGAAATTCATCATTAATTATTTTCTGCTACTTCCAGCGATAATACAAACCAGTGCCTACTTTCAGTCGTCTGAAGTTTTATTAATCAAACTGAATTGTGCACCATACCTTACCTTACCAACCAGTATAAATGGATTAAATTAAAAAGTATATTTGGTACCTACACTGTAAAACATATTACATAATGCATTGAGTGTCAAATCACCCTGATGCAACGCGCCCTTCTTTTTCTAATCACAATTAAACTATCATGTAGTACAGGCAGAGAACCAAGAGACAGTTATACCCATTTTAGCCAATTCAAACCCATTTCCCTTCAGTTTTAACTGGGTTTAAATGGACATTATATTAACATTAGCTATGGTACATTTTGGATATCATGTCAGTTTTCTCAGCAATGCACCAAAACTTTCAAGATTGCTGTGCATTTACCTTCCTCTGACCTGCCCGATGTATCAAGGGACGGAGCTCGTGTTCCTGCAGCTGTTGTAATATCCTCAGTGTTAGACCGCTGCTGGCTATCAGTGTGACAGCATTGAGACCTGAATAAAGAATCAAGGATATTCAAAAACAAGTATCTGACTAACAACCCATTTTAAAAATGGGACACTTGACACCAATGAACTTTCAAGCACATATTGTGCAAAACACAAAATTATAACTTAGCTACTGGACTTTGACAAATTCACTTTTCTAGCTGAACAATCTTTTTGTATTTTAATGCTGCATTTACACCCTCGCACCAAAACCAGATAGAAAATAACTTATTCTGCACAAGAACAGTTATGCACACAAGGTTAAAATAACTTCAGGATGCAATCTAGTGTTTGATTGGTTTTGCGCTGCCCTGTGGATGAGACGAGAATACAAGGACATGTATGCCTCTTCAAGTGGATGTTAAAGAATCCACATAACTACTCAAAGAGAAGGGAGTTTCTCCTGGTGTCCTGGCCAACAATCCTCAGATAAAATTAGTCATAGCTGTGTGTGAAACACTGCTGTGCACAAATTGGCTGCCATGTTAGTCTACAGAATCCTACACATTAAAGTTTGAAGTGTTTGAGATGTCCACCTGACATGAAAAGCACTTTACCAAATGCAAGGATTATTAATTTTAAGATAATGTTCCTTTGGTTCAGATCCAGAGGGAGTTCATCAATTTCTTCAATATCTTGAACACCTCAGTCCAACGCTTAAGGATTACAACCCAGGTCTAACCAGCCTCTAATCAAAACTAAGCCTCTATATTCCCTTTGGATCTCCCGAACAGAGGGAAGTGTCATCCACTATCTAGCTTGTTAATTCCCTTCATTATTTTAAACACCTTAAACAGATCACACCATAACCTTCTCAGGTCTGAGGAATACAATTCAAATCTAGCAGCCTAGCATCATACTATGATGGTGAATACAGGAGTAGCATAAGCAAAGATAATGTGGAGTTTATTTGCTAATCCTCTTGGTTGGGGAATGAATTTAAACACTGATTTGAAATGTTACATCATGCTCTCACCCTAATGTGATAATTTTCCGTGTCATCTCCAGTGATGTCAATCCATTCAATGCTGAACTACTGAACATTTCTTGGCCAGTAATTGGAAATGTTCTGTCCTCAGCCTTAGAGACTGGCAGGGGCTCCGAACCGTTTGATTTGCTTGTAGATTGTGGTGATCCTTGTCTACTGGTGGGCTTTGGTGCTCCTATAGAGAAAACTCCATGAACAGATTGCATATTATTCTCCCAAAACACAGGCTCAACATTCATCAACAAGTAGTACCAGTCACTGTTCGTCTACACCAAATGATATAAACGTATAGGCTATTTTTGGAAATGCAGCTAGACTACTTTCACTATTATACATGGGACAGCAACCATTTTTCGTTTAAAAATAAATTTTGGATAAATCCCTAGGCTAGATACTTTGACCTTAACATACTCATTATAACCTCATTTTGCTCAAGATATACAGTTCAAGCTCAGCATTCAAATGCTTGTTGATAGATTTGTGGTTTGTCCTATTTATGCTGTTGAAGCTAAGCAGCTTCAATGAATACTTATATTAAATACAAGTTTTAAAAAGAACAGCATATGCATATTGGAAGTTGTGTATGGACCTAGACTTTACTTCATCAGGTGCTATAGAAAGGGAATGCAGAAAATGTTAGCATGATTGTAACAAGGACAAGCCAGAAATCTTCTGTCAATTTATACTAACAGTAGTTAATAAACACCTACACATAAGGGCTATGTTCAAGGTGGTTCTAGGTTTTTGCTGGGGTTATTTCGAAACAAACTGTTTATAATGGCAGTCAAAATTTCGATTTCAGAATGAATTGCATCTCCCTGTATTATAATAAAAATATTGCTCTACTTATTTTGACAGCAATTAATTGAAAAACATATTGCAAAGCTACCTTCTGTACTGTTTTGAGCATCACTCTGTCCATGGAGGTCCTTATCTCCACAATCCAGTCCTCTGCGGAGAGGTAAGCTACTCCCTGCACTAGAACGACCAGCTTTTGGAGAGATGCTTTTTTTCGTAGATACTGAGACAAAATGAAGATATAATATTAATAATAATCCTTGTATTTAATATAGCACCATATCACATTTTTGAGCTGCCTCGAAGCGCTTCACAGAATACTGTAAAGGACTGTATATTTTGTGGGCGAAATGCAGCAGCCAATTGCGCATAACTCTGTCCCACAAACAGTTGTGGATTGAGTGACCAAAAATTATTTTTGAATTATTATATAATTTTGAAGGGATTATTACCCCCAGAAAAGCGATCCACCAATCGACTAACAACCAGGTTCCTACTGCTGGGTAAACAGAGGTGTGTGGAATAAGATATTTTACAAATCAAGCAGAACTAAGAGCTCAGTTGTGTCACATCAACAACTGAAAATCCCTTTTCGATTATACTTAAAACAAATCAGGACTGGAACGATGAGATTGAGAATGGGCACGAAGAAGCACGGCGAACTATCATAGTCAATGACAATTCAAAGTTGGTTAGGTATTGTCCCTGTAAAAGTAAAACAATCTCTCTACACTGGTATTTTTAAACTTCTCTTATTTAGAATTAATTATTTTATTTCACTTTTTCACTAAAATACACAGGAATCAAGATTATGAGCATGGTGTTTCTTTACTATTTTGCAACAGAGAAAGAAACTGAAAAATGACAAAAAAAATCCACTCAAGCAGATCAAGGCCTTTTTCCAAGGCAATGCAAACTGGATTGCTCAGTTTAAGATTCACTCTAAAACAGGCCTGAAACCTTTTGGAGCATTTGTTTATTAATTTTACTTAAGTTTCAGGATGTGCTTTTGACTACCTCTCGCTCACAGGCATATACAATGCATGAGGCATAACCATAATTAGATTTAACTATTTTTCGATACCTGCTGCTTTCAACTTTAGTTTATTCCATTGAAATTTTATGGCACATACTGCACCTAAACTTAAGACTATTGGTTGAAAAATAATGGGCAAGGACTCAAAGCTAGCCACTAATATTGTGGGGCTTGACCATCCTAACATACTAGCATTTGTGAATTAGTCTCATTGGACCCAGGAGAGACGAGTTCTATATTCTTAAAATCATAGAAGATAACCAATATGGGTTCATGAGGAAATATTTTGCCAAACAAATTTACTGGTTTTCTTTGACTGTGTGACAAAGGAGATTGAAAAGGGTAAGGCAGTCAATGTTGTATATCTGGATGTCAGTAAGGTCTTTGATACAGTTTCCCTTGATAGAATGGTACTGAAAATAACGAAAGCAGGAATCATAGGAAATATCTTGGAATCTCTCAAGAACACTTGCCATCTGTTTTAGCACAGTTTTAATTTTAGCTTTCACTCAGCAGTTATAAATTCAAAACACAATAATGACACAAATGGGTCACTTTATATTTGCACACTAGTTAACTTGGGGATTTATTATGTTCTATGTGTAAACAATATGTAAACCCAAGTCTGGAGGTAATTACAGATGCCCTTCATTATACAGTTTTTTTTAAACCATTGAAAAGGTTGGTTGCTAAGTTTATAATTAAGATTTTTTGGGGGGGTTAATGAATAATATCTTGATTCCCTCTATACAATCCCAGGATGGTAGGATGAAGGTACTTGGGCTCATTTGATCTCGTAATTCCAGAATACCTAACTTTCCATGTTTCTGTTACAGTACCAAGCCATTTTTTTTAAGTGAGTCCATTGTCTTGGCTTGAAACACCCTCCTGGTAACCCATTGATGTCACCTACTCTTTTAAAAAAAATACTCCCTGGCCTCTGTGCTAAAATTGTCCTTCACAACTACGAACTTGTAATCCTTACTACCGTGGCAAATCTGAAAGTAATGTTCTGGAGTTACCTTCTCAATGTCATTTGGTATCTTATTCACTTCTATAAGGTCCTTCTGAGATATTTTCAAGACTGAAGCGTCCTAGTTTATCTAATTGTTCCTCAAAGTTCATCCCTCTGACACAGTTCTGTTGTCTGACATTTGAAATCTGAAATCTGACATTGTTGTTGCTCTCTTGTGCATGTTTTCCAAGCTCTGACCAGACCTACATGCATTACTCCAGATACAATTGTATGACTTCCGAGGATTTGAACTCATCTGATTTGGCAATATACTCCAGCATTCTATTAGCCTTGTTTTATTGATGCCTTTGACGAAGTACGCGACAAGTCAATAAACACACCTGGGCTTCTTTCAACTTCACCAGGGCAAGTTCTACCCTATACACAAAGTACATGTCGTTGATTTTTTACTTCCAATGTGCTACATCTTGCATTGATTTGTATTGAATTTCACATGCCAATGATCTACTCAGGTACGTACCCTTTCCAGCTCTCTTTGTACGATCACATCTGCTTCCTCAGATTCCAATTTCACCCAACTTGGTATTATCTGCAAACACTACCTTACACTGAGACTGCAAATCCAATTAATTAATCCACACAGGAAAAGGAGGCGCTCCAGCAGAGACCCCTAAGGCACTCTACTCAGCACAAAAAACCCTGCAGTAAGATGTCTTGTAGGAGAACAATTATAGCCTTTAAAGCTAGTGTTTGAAGATTAGAATAATCTTCTGTTCACTCACCAAATCTTAAGCAATTGCCTGAACTTGCTCCCTTTGACAGAAGGTCCAGTGCTGACTCATGTCTTTGAACTCCATCAGTTCCACAAGCTCCAGAAGGTCCTTGTTCCCCTGGACAAGTGGGGCAGTTCACTCCCAATTCAGCACACATCTGACTTTTGACTTCAGACATTTTGCTTCTAACTTCAGCCATTTGAGCCTTCAGCCTCTTTAGAACCCCTGAATCAGGAGGGGATCGACGCACAGCTTGTTGTCTTCGTTGGTCACGATCTTTACGAGACTGAACTACCATTTTTATTTTAGAAAAAGTAATCACAGCAAGAAAAACATTACAGAACCGTAGAGATCTTAATTAAAAAACATTTATCATCACATATCATGGCTGTGTTCTAACATTGTGTGTAATAAGGTCCTAGGACATATGCTTGCTAAGAAATGTTTCCATGTGACAAATCCCTTATTTTAGCCATATTACAGGGAGGAAATGGGCAGTGGCCAGATATTCCCATTTCCACCTGTGGAATAGCTAAACATCAAATCTTAAACTTTACTACCTACTTTCTCTCACTAGCAAACTAGTCAAAAAAAAGTACATTTAAAAAATTAATATCTATAACTCAATTAAAACCTTACCGTCAAAGCCAGAATAGTTTATTACTAGTAAAGAAAGGTACCTCGGTCTGTTCGCATAAAAAGTGTTGAAAATTGTTATTTCTGCAGATAACCTTTTGAGCAGTGAATACAACAAATTACAGTAAGCTGAAATGCCCCTTTCAATATAAACTCAAACTTTAAAAACAAATTCTCCCTGCCGAGGGCACCAGTTTGTGCTGTGTTACAGCTCTAAGTGTCCCAACATGTCCTGAGAACTTCACGTGCAATCTAGTCAGCAGGCTATTCAAATATGGAAAGCATTACACTAGAATCTGATGAGTTTCTCCACAGATAGTTTACAGCAGTGACAGTGACCACAAATAGAAACCAAAACTGCTGATTTTTCCTCCCTAGCCAAGTGTATAAAGGTTAATTGTAGTACCCTAACTGAGGTCAACTACCTCAGGGCAGGCCATGAATCAAACCCACTACTGGTCTTCACTCCCTAGGCTAGTAGGGGAAGCTAGCCATTGGATTCTTAGTGGATTTCCGCTAAATAATGGCTGCAAATAAATTATCACATTGTACCTACCTGCAGTGTGCAGGATAGAAGCTGGTGGTCGCGGCTGGAGTCCCCATAGGCTTTCCATGCTATTCCGGTCCTTCAGTTCCAACAGCTGTATAAGAATGACTGGGTCAATGTCTAACAGGCTGCTGCTGGCTGCTGATGCCAAGCTGCCCGCTGAAGTCAAGCTGCCCATTCCTCGCTTCGAAGACCTATTGTGATTGCTCATTCCACCTGTCGAGAATGCAGATTAAAAATACTATTACAAATAGCAACTATAAAAATGAGAGACATCAGTTTGACAAAGTAATGGGACTTCAAGAAAACAAAATTGACAAAACATTACAATATTCTCACTAAAATTAAAGTAATCCTACAACTGCTCCAATACCAAAGCACTGTTTGTAAGTTAACCTGGTCTCAGTACATTTCACCCAAATAACCACTTCCATGCATATAATAAGTCTAGCAATGACAATCGGTGGTTTGTTTGTCCACAGCCTTGATTGAAAACAATGTGGAGTTCGCAGTATAACTTGACCTCCCATTCCACATGATTCTTCTGGGAGTGAACTGGCTTCGCTCTTGGAAATGCAATCACAACTTTTAGCAAAAGCTACAAAGGACATTCACCACTACAAAGGTTTTGAACAGGCTATAATTATGCAAGCTAGGAATTTTCAGCAAAACAAAAGGTCTAAATAAATAACACCACAAAATGTATTGTTTGCCATACACATTCATCCTCAACTTTAGTTAATAAGTTTCTTTCCTTTGATTATCTCCCTGAGCCACACACTTCATTTGTCAGAGAGAAGACATGCTCCCAAGTCACTGGTGCTCAAGTTCTGCAGTAGGAGGAGCACAAGCTCAAATCCCTTCCTATAAATATTGGAGGAACCATCTGTTCTCATCTTTATACCTGACACCACGATTTGTATTCAGGAACTACTCATGGAGAGATGAGTCATGGGAACCTGCATCTCTATCTGCTCTATAGCAAACTGGTAGAGAATCAATGATCATATCTTTAAAAAAAACACACTAGGTAGATGGTTACATATCAGTTAGACTAACTCTCACCTGGCACACCTTTTGAGTTAGCAATTTTCAGGTAAGGGGCACAATACAAAAATGTCTTTGTTCTTGAAGCCTGACCATTGACATTAAAGCAAGATTATTTTACAGGGGTGGGACGGGGGAGGGGAGAGAGAAAGAGAAAAAGAGAGGAGTAAACAGGGTCCCCTTGGAAATGAGCTGGCTCCATGGTATTTGGCAACGGAATGTCGAGATCAGGGCAACTCACTCCGGCGATCTCTTAGTTTGGTTCCTGAGCCAAGCGGGTCCACAGTACTCCAGGATACTGCTGATAGCAGACCAACCAGTCCTGACTCATCAGCGGGACTTGGGAGGGGCAGACCAGTCAATGGGAGCAGGAATTCTTCCCACTCAGCTTCTGTTAACCCTGAAAGCCAAAGCCCTAATAGATTAATTCAAAAAGGTGCAAAGAGGAGTACATAAAATTTACAGATGACCACAAAAAACACGAATTGAGGAACATTTTTCTTCCACTTCTATGATTATTGGTTTACATAAGTGTTCCTAATCTAAAATGGAGAAACGTATTTCACCTTTGGGACAGGTGCAGAAATAGACCACCCTTGAGCATTTTGGGAGAAGATGATATGCAAGGTACCTGCCCTACCTCTACACCTGGAGACACCAACCTTCAGATGATAAGCAGCTACATGAAGGCATTCTTTCTTGTGTTGAGGAACGATAACATGATAATGCTGGGCATATCGGAGTGATTTTACCCACGGTTAATGGCAGACAGCTGAAGGTACGGAGCCTACCTGATGTTTGGAAGATAGTCCCCAGCATTCCCATATTCGAAAGGAACCCAGTGTCTGATGGGAGGAAGTAACTTTTGTAGTTTTTTAAAAAAATAAAAAAACGGCTGAGGCATTTAAGTTAGAGATTCAAAAAATGACTATTTATAGAGGGCTGAATGAAAAGCAGTATATGCACTTCCTTTCCCCAACCCTCCAAGTTTGTAGCTGTACGTGAGTAAATTAAAAGATAGCAGTAGATATAAATGGTTGATTGGATTTGTTGTTTAAGAGTTTTAAACATCCTGCTGAAAGTTACAGCATGTAGGGTAGAGCAGCTGCTTTACACTTTCAAATATTCCCATTGTTGCACCCTCTCAATTATTAAAAACTCTGAATATGATCCAATGAGAATGTCTCAAATGTACCATTCTGGTTCATTTTTCAGATAACTTAGTACTAAAAGTCCCCCATTCTATTCATATTGGAAGAGTTCGATAATTAGTGTGTGTTCCAGTAAAAAGTGCTTAAGAGGCTAAAAGCTTAAAGGCACAAAGCACATTTTTGTATTACATACAGGAACTCAAACTATGTATCAAACAATTCATGTGTTTGCCCTAATTAGAAGCAACAATACAAACTTTTCATTCTGTAACAGTTTTCTTTCACAATTTCTTTGAAAAATCAGCTTAAACACTCTTGGCATGACACAAATTAAAGCATAGTATTCCTTTGGAAAGTAAGTTGTTAAAAAAAAGTTACCTGAAGCCCCTGCGGTATCATCCATCAATTCTCCCTCCTCTAAATCCATGTTATTATTGTATTCAACATCATTCTCTCCTGACCTGGAAAGCAAAACTCGAGGTTATAACTGAAAAATTTCCTTTGCTTCAGCTTAACTTGGTTTTACCAAGAACTGTTTATCGCTCTCTCAACTTGCTAGTTTCATTCTGTGGTAGTGGTTTCCCCCCCGATGTTTATATTTATAATTGAAGAAGTTAGTTTAAAACATTTTCTTTCATAGTAAAAGTTAGCCTGGTCCCAGCTCTCTTTTAATGCAGCCCCAGCACTAAACACTAGGATTGTATACAAATTTCCTTTACCAGTGGGTTGTTATGATCTGGAAGCCTGAGAGGATGGTGGAAGCAGTTTCAATAATAACTTTCAAAAGAGAAATGGATATATACTTGAAAAGGAAAAATTTGCAAGGCTATTGAGGAAGAGCGGGTTTAATTGGATAGTTCCTTCAAAGAACCTGAAAAGGCACGATGGGCCAAATGGCCTCCTTCTGTGCTGTAAGATTCTACAAGTACTTCAGGGAAACTGCCCAACTGATTTAATTCCCTCAATTTTCATGGAAAAATGTTTGGCAACTCCTCCTTATGCAGAAATGTGTCGAAACATCATTCCAGAAAACCAAAAGAAAAAAAAAACTACTAAACCTTCTGAAAGGGGGTAGGTAATCCCATATTATGATAATGGGTCAATGGGTGTTGTCAGTAGCTGACCTGAGCAGCCTTTATTCATGTGAAAGTCTGGACAGTGAGCATTGGCAGACTAATAACTAAAGAAGCATCATAGTGAAAACCAATCCTGTCTTCATCCAACTTTCATCACTTAACAACAGAAGTTACTGGCAGTAAATCAAAATGACAATCATGACCCATTTTCTATTCCCTCTCCTGGGACCATTTGGGCAAGTTGTAATTTTCTCAGTGCTACATTGGTCCTTCTTTGCCATTATTGTCTCATATGTCTCATCTAGCCACTGAACCATTAGAAGAGACAGAAATTTTTTATAAAACTATGAATGCTACGCATATAAATGCAAGCTTTTGTTGGATGTTTCAACAGAAGAAAACAACTTCTTGTCAAGCTCTGTGGAGGGTGATGTGTAAAGACTCTTAAGAAGCCTGAATTTCCAGGAAGTTCAATCTAATCCCAGATATCTATGATCGGGGGCCTAATATAGTTCATAGATTTTTTAAAAACTATTTAAACTTACAGGTATATAAACAAATTATAAAGAGCACAATGGGAAACATTAAAAATACATACAGCAAAACAGTTCAAGTATGCTGTGAAACATGATCAGTAGACAGTGATAGCAAGCACAATTGGAAAACTGTATATGATGTACTTACATAGTTTCCTCATCTATATCATTTTCCTCTGTATTGCTGGTTGCTGTTGAACTAGCAGAGGAGCTGCTGCCATCAAGGTGATTCACTTCTTCATCTCCTGTTAGACAGTCAATGTCTAAATCTCCATCAGACAAATCATGCTAAAGAACATGAAAAATAGTCATTAAACATGGGATCAAAGCATTTCATAACATTCATTATATGATTTGACTTCAGAAGGTAAAATCAGCTATTGGCACGCAAATGACAACAACAACTTGCATTTATATAGCACTCCTCATACAGGGTAGTCCCAAAGCGCTTGGATGTTGGTTCAAGACATTCAACCATGTGCAGTGTGAATTTAGAAGTATTATACAAGAGTGAATTCCGAATCAGGTAGTCTGTCTGGGCAAGAAGTCTTCCCTGATCATTGCAAACTACCTACAGTGGAATCATCACGTTGAGTCTTGTCCTCTTCATCCTCATCCTCCTCTTTGACCAAGCTGACATCCAAAACTGAACAGGCTCCCTCTGCTGGCTGATCTTCATTATAAGCAGGCTTTTTTGTTACGGTGTCTGAGCCCTCACTACTTTTATCTGGTGGTGACGAGCTTCGTGATGCCATGCTACGTGAAAGCTCGAGGACCAGCCTCTGTGGAGATGAAAGAGAAAATAAATCAAAATCAATTGTACTTTCACATGATTTTAATAGCAAGTTCTTCATCAACTCAATGCACAAATGGTTGTATCCGCTGACCACCTTGTTTGTTAGAAGTCTCTGAATTTCGATAAGACTTCTGTTTTATACAGACAAAAAATGTACTTTATTGAATCCATTGCAACAAATATGAGATTTTAATGGTAATTTATAGACGTGTCATACTTCCCATGCCAATTTTTCATGCATGTCAATACCAGTGCCATTCTTCATTCCAATTTAATGATAAAACACTTCTGACTTATAAGTCATGTAGCTAAATACTCCAATCTTAACCAAGACACCCAAACCATTAATGATTTCACCCTACTTCCATAACAGTCTATATTTCTGTTTCAATGACTGCTTGTTTTTTCTTGATCTTGCTACACTATACTGTGACATGAACTTAAGATACAAATTGAGTTATCCAGCAGACGTGGCCTATAAAAATGGTGACTGGCATAATTTTTGAATATTTCTGTATCCATTTGGATACTGAACAGCTATCTTTCAATTTTGCTTTACTGCAAAATAATTAAAATAAACCAATGCCATGTAAAACAGCACTTGGAAGTCTGCTCTCATTCAATAACAGCGACTTTCACAGCGGGAATTTAAGATGGCAGCGCCAAGCATTGCTCAATTGGTTTCAAGTGCTACCATTTTTTCAAAGACGGCATTCCTCAAACACATTCATGCTAATTCTTATAAGGAATATATCGCATTTGTGAATACCGCAATTTTGAACTCCCAATATATGTTCAAAAATGCAAATCAACAATTTTTTCAGAATATCTATCTCTGATTCTCCTAACACCTGCCTTGACTCCACGAATGAGGACAGATAGCAAAAACTAACCTTTTTGAGATTCTTAACTTGCTGAATGTAACCTGCTTGAGCCAGTTCGAGCTGGCTGATGTACCAGTTTTGGTCACGACATTTTTGGAAAAATGTAGGCGAGCGCACCTGATACCTGTAAAAACCATACAGACAGTAATGGATATAAATACTAGATTTTCAAAATTTCATTTGCTAGCTAAATAATATTCAAAGATTTCATTTTAACTGATATTCAGCGGATCCTGCTTGGAAGGAATTTGGATACAAGATACAGATACAAGGAAAAATGGTAAGAGAAATCCAAAATAAAATAAATCTACAGAAGATTAAAACAGCATCTGAATTAGAAAGATGGATCAAAGATGGGTCAGATTAAAACACAAAACTTTCAACATAACTGGAAAGAATGGATCCTTTTATTAAAGACAAATAGACTGGACTGAGAAAAATAAGTTATCAGCAAGTTAAAACTACTAACTTGAGTTGGTTCTATCACCTTATATGTACACTGATGATATGGCTTGCTCTTCCTCTCAGTGTACTGGGTGACCTCTGTGCTCATTCCTCACTAATCAACGCAAGTCTCTATAACTAGGTGTAACTTGACTAATGAGTTCTTCCACGACGACAGGTACTACCAATTGCTATTTAAATTAAAGCAAATTGGGACACTTCAGTTAATCAGATTTATTTTACACCTCTGTGACCGAGGCTGAACCTATTTGTGTATTTCCTCCTTTGATTTATACAGAAAGCTCGAGTTAAGCACGGTTAAGTTAACTCAATGGAATTTAGTTGTAACTCGATGAAATCCACAACCCTCGGCATTAAATTTTAAATTATATGATAAATATCAACAAACACAATTATGAGATAACAAACATCAATCACACTTAAACTATACACGCTAGCAGCCACTTGTAATGAAGTTAATGTAAAGTGCACGAAGAACCAACCTGTGACTACTAATCATCAATAGTCAGAGCACATACCTTTGTTGTCATCAAGTAGAAAAATAGCGACCACGAGCACATGACGCTCATTCTTTGATGGGCATTGAGCCCTCCCCGAATTAGGGTACCCAATGGTAATTGTATAGCACCAATTACTTGATGTAATTGGTGCCTTTCTTATGGTCCAATCAAAATCATGCTTTAAGTGACTCAATAAGGAAACCGTACATCTTCCTATCCATTTATGCAAATTATAGATATTCAGTTACTCTACCAAATTTTTGCAATTGACACTGGAGTCAGACTTGATGGCACCGTAAGTATCAAAAACGTTAAATACATTAAAAAAATGTATTTAAAGAGCTACTCAATATATCTAAACAACAGACAGATGGAGAAAACAAAAGTGGTGACTGTGACAAACTACATACATAATGAAAAATTTCAGATTGTAAAATGCTGGAAAAAGGCAATAAAATTGCTGAACAAAATACATAGCTTATCCAAGATATCAGTCAGATATACAAGAATTAGCAAGGTAACAGAATAAACAAAGATCAAGGTAAGAATGGGAGCCACAGGATCGTGTTTCCTGCTGGAACGGAGATGTCTGGCTAAGTTCACCTACCAAATACAGAGTCACTTCACAAGAGCCCAGACAGCCTCCCAGTGTGAAAGGCACTATATTAAATATAAGTATTATTTAAAAATTATATTATTTAAGTGGAAAGGTCGCAAATGTTGTTTAATCCACTGTGTATTTCTGACATTTTTCAGTCAGATGTAGGGAATTCAATTTTTTAAAGAACCAAGCACAAAATGGAATTCCAGGCGGAAAGTAGCATGAAAACCTGCACTATTCATTATTCAAGCCAAATAGTAAATTAGATTTTTTCACAGCACTGCAATAATGCTCCGTTTTTAATACAAATAATCAATAAGGTGATTTATGAAGCAGGTCGAGTACAAATCTGAAAATTTTGATTGAACCTCTTAAGAGAATCAGTAAAATCTGTAAGATTATTTTCATCTTTCCCAGGGGGCTTCCTCATCAATAAAACCAACAAACATTGTCAGTAATAAAGTATTTGGAAGAATGAAATTCCTGATAGATTTATGAAACAAAACAGTAACATTCTACTGCTCACAGTCTCTGCAATAGTTACCCATCCTGAACATTAATCTGCAATTGCACACTTTAACACAATGCTAGCTGGTCCTGACAGAACAGTCCATCAAATATATGTGACAAATAACTATTTTTCCTGTAGGCCAACATGGAATTCTCTTTTGTGAGTTTTCAGCAGCTAGAGAGCACAGTAAGGGATTTCTGCCCGAGTCAGATTTGCAGTTGACAGAAAAATGTACCATAACAAGACTAACTGTGTGCTGCCACCTTCGGGTAAAGATCAGCAAATATTTTGTGCACAAGATGTTGAAAATCCAGCAATGAGAAATGGCTATACATCACTCAGGCAATAATTATCAGTCTTGCCCAGAATCAACAAATTTAGACAAAGTGAAAACCCAATATTTAATTTTGATCAGGTAGGGATGTTTTTTGCACATGCTCACTGGCAAGGTCGTTTGGGCAGAAAATGCTCACTCTGCTTAAAAAACAATCAATTGATTCAGGATGATAAACTACACAACTTCTTACCTAACCACTAAAGTATCATTTTGCATATTTAGGTAACCCTCACTGGCGAGGAGGTCCAGTCGAAAAAAACGATTATAACCCCAGCATTCTCCAACCTCAAAATCAGAAGCAAATTCACGAATAATGTTTTTAGTAGGGTCATTGGAGGCTTGATGAACCATCTCCACACGGTATTCATACCTAAGCAAAACAACCAAAAAAAAACAGTAGTTTTTTACATTATAATTCAGAATATTTTACAGTATAACAGTTTATATAATTAGCTAAAGATTTCTGAATTTAACTTTATTTTGTTATTGCTGCAACCTTTTAAATCTAGATACAATGTTCAGTCCGATTTTAGGACATGAAACATTTTCATTATTGTTCCCTCCTCTTCCCCCTGCGGCACCAACACTAAAAATGCCAATTCATCAAAACAATTGCTAACAAAATGTTACTGTTCTAATCTTCTTCATTGGTATTTAAATCATGGTGCAGAACATGACATGACAGCCAATCTGAATTGGAACAAAGGCTACCCATATTTGGATGGAAACTATCCACATTAGCGCAAGCTGTTGAGAATGAAAAACAATCAAGAGGAAAAACAATATTGTGGATCAACCTACATAGAAATCAGATACACCACTTGTTGTGAAGCCCGAAAGATGAGGAAAAAATTACAAAGCCACGCATTAAATTTAGAAGAAAGTGATCCAGGATTAAGATAGCATTAAAGAGACAGAAATTCAATATTTAAGTGAAATGAATCTTAAACCTCCGTACTTTGATGTTTCAGGGAGTCCTGCTGAGAGTTCCAGAAACACTGACAGGTAATTTCCTCGCACAACTCCATTTCCATCCTAGTGTAGAATGCACAACTTAATATTTAGACATTTTAATGCACAACATTAACATAAATTTTATGAAATGTACACTATTATAAAATTAACTTCTAAGAATTGCAATAGAATGTTTGAACCAAATACTTTGCAGCCAATTATAATATACTTCCTTTAATGCAAAAATTCAGTAATATGAATATAGTTTCTGTTCACAGCGGATTCAGGCAACCGGCCCACTCTCAACCTGACTTCCACGCTAAAATGGCCAGCTTCCCGGTCATTTTATTCCTGTTTTGACACACAAAATTATGTTGGCAGTGACCCGATGACCTGGAAGTCGGTCATCTTTAATTTTAGCACAGAAAACAGCTAGCCACAAGGGGATTGGCTGCTTGTGCTCAGTGGAACTGGCTATTGCACAATGCTGGAACATGGGTTGGGATTTTATAAATCCCAACAATGCTCCATCGTAACATTAAAATTATGTGTGATGTGTGTGCACAAGTGTATCAGTGTGGCGTAATTTTGGTACCTAATAATTCAAATCAAATATTGATCTGAAGTTTAAGAAAAATGAATTGTCAATTTTCTTATAAAAAATTTAATATGTTTATTGTTTACAATTGTTTGTATTTGTGTAGTTTGACTTCTTAAACTGACATTTATGGAATCACGGTTATTTTAATTGTAAAATTTATGAAGCTTTTTTTAAAAATTCACTTTCCTTTGTTTGTCCATTCCTGAAGGATCTGAATCCCTTTCATTGAGGTACGACTTTAAGGACCAAAGTAATCCTTCAGGTCTCTGGCGCACGTGTTGATGCATTAGTCTTTAATGAGTTGATAGGCTACTAACAAAAGAGGACAAGCCCAATACCTACCTTGGCATTAAAAAGTGCCCTTCACGAGTGCTTAAAATCGTCTTCATCTATTGAACCACTCAAATGCACTTCCAGAAGGGGTTTTCCCTTCCCTAATCCACCAACTAAACATTGCCTAATGTTGCCCCAGCTGAATTAACTAGGCAAAGATCAGGAATCAAACCAGAGCTCTGCAGCTCGTGTACTCTCACGCACCAGGCTCCATGACCCCATCACTCCCACCCTCGCCCGACTCTACTGGCCCCCCCATCCCCCAGAGGATCGAGTTCAAGATCCTCGTCCTCACCTTTAAGGCCATCCATGGCCTTTACCCCTCTTACCTCTCTGACCTGCTGACTCCCTATGAGCCTGCCCACTCCCTCCGTTCATCATGCTCCGGCCTGCTCCATGTCTCCCGCCTGACCATCGGTGGCCGGGCTTTCAGCCTCTCTGCCCCCACACTCTGGAATTCCATCCCACATTCTCTTCGCCCCGTTTCCTCCCTTGCCTCCTTCAAGGTCGGTCTCAAGACCTTTCTCTTCGACCATACCTTTGGTCTGCCTCCCACCTCTCTGCCTTCCCTCACCCCTACACCACCCCTCCCCCATGCTCAGGCCCCGACACCTGACTGTTCAGCACTTTGTGACGTCCTCCCGACGTGAAAGGCGCTCTATAAATAGAATTTTGTTGTTGTTGATGCTCACTGAATAAACTCACTTGTTAACCTTTGGGGAATTTTTTTTTTAAAAAAAGCTAGAAATTAAATTGAAGTTCCAGAGAAGTTTGGCGATACAATTCACCATGGAGAGATGTCCTGGTTTGATTCTCAGTCCTAGGCTCACTTGAGCATCTTCTCAATGGGAAACTGCCAACAGGATGAAGAGACCAAAGAATTCCACTTCAGTACCACCAGCAGCTCAGCTTCCCAGAAAAACGTCAGCCTGGCCTTGGCTGGAAGATCAAGTGCATACAAAGTGAGAAGATAAGTTTTTTTTTGTATTAAATTTGTTTTCATTCAGCTGTACTTTGACATGTATGATGTTTTGTGCAGCTTGTTCTCCTCTGCAACATTCAGATCAAAACAATTTGCTCTGTGCAAAATAAGGATGCCATCGGCACTCCCATATGCTCTATCTAAAAAAACCCCAACTTGGATCAAAATTTGTTCCAACCAGTTTTCTTCCACCATCTTACATGCCTAAACCAACATTTAAAACTTACCGGATAAACTTTGAGTCGCCAGCAGAGTCCTGACACCTGTAGTGGAGGGCTGTACACAGGGTCTGCACGCTGGCGTAGGGTGCTGCAAAAAGCAGACAAAGTGTATCAACAGCACAATATTCATTTAAAGGCAGGATACAGCTTGGCTAAAAGTCAGCCTAAGGAAAGTTTCTGTCCAACCTGAGATACCTACCTACTGCTTATATATCAAAAATGCACCAAATACGCATAACTATCATCACATATTCTCCAGCCAAATCTCTAAAATGGCTTAAAGATCCTGTAATTTTTCAATAACTTATTGTTTTGCTGTTAGTTTCCCCACCACCTTTTATGAAGCCAAACATTGATTCTTTGCTGAGGAGAGAATGCGCAGCTACCAATCGCTCTCTAGTACCTTGTCCATCCAACCTTATTCATGTTTGAGTTTAGACAACAAGTCCTGGCAGGCTATTGAACTTTGGGTGATCAGATGAGACAGATTTTTTTTTGTGTGGTCAGGTAGTAGACTGGCTGACACATGCCGAAACCAATCACCATGCTTAAGAGTATTCAAATCAAACTGGGAATGCCATGCATCCCACCTACACAATGAAATTCCAGAAATAGATTGTTGGATTGAAATGCACACTTTCTCCCTGGAGGGGCACATCATGCTTACCCAATTCCGGGAAGTATGAGATATAGGTGGAAAGAGCCAAGGATTGGGGACCACAGAGTGTGCGTTGCGGTTACTGGGGTCAAAATTGCTTAGCTTGCCATTGATATTGCTATCTGGCAAGCTTTCCCGCTGCTTGTCCAGCTAGGACCACGCCACCTATTATGGCTTTCTTGCAGGGTTTTGTTGCAGGAGCTGAGTGGGATGTCTCCCTGGTGACTGGTCTGCTCTACCAGGTCCTCTAAATGAGCCACTGCAACCTGGAATCAGCAGTGCCTGGAATACTGCAGACCCATCTGGCTCAGGAACCGGACTACCGAGACTGCCACAGATGGCTGACTCGATTCCAACATTCCGTTGCTAAGCATGTCACCTTGTAGCCAGATCCATTTTCTAACTGGTCCCTAAATTGTAGGCAGAAGAGAAAACCCTGACTGATTTCCACCATTCCTTAAAGGTCAATTGCCGCACCATAATTAAGATAAGTTAACTCAGCATAAACTATGATTTGAACGTGGAACTTTCAGATTTGTCTAATGGGTTTACCCAAGCTATCATAGCTCTCAACATCTCACTTCATTTGCTCCTCACATAGAGTAAAATGATAGATTATATTAAAACCACATTAGTGCACATTTCAAATAACTGCACTGTGAAAAAAAACCTCCTAAGGTGAAGTGAATTTTTAGAGTGATCAGCGAGTCATCAGGGTGTACTAAGACTGAAACAATANTTTTTTTAATCCCAACTCCCTTAAAAATAACTCAATAGTGTAGTTTGTGATGTTAGTAACAGACGTGAAATTGATTAACAGCTCTGAACACATCAGCTCAACACTCAATGGAATTGGGGCCCCATTTTTCGTTCTCCGGAACACTTTTTAAAAGAAGTAATTGTGAGGTGTGCTGTCAATGAACAGAAAATAGTGGTTATCAAATGACTTTTTAAAAAAAATCAAAGAATTACCTGAAATTTGCCAGAACAAATGTACTGAAATCGTAAGCAGGGACCAGCTCACTGGAGAGAAAAAAAGACATGTTTTAATGATAAACAGTAATAGCTTGCTGCTCAGGCACAAGAAACACAAGTACATCAACTTACACACACACACTTACCAACTCACACAATCCTTGCATAGAGGCATGGTAAAATGCAGCACTCCCCATTCAATCAACGGATATCATGCTTTATAATCCTTTGAGGAATTCTTCCCCTTTTGAGATTTGGGTCCAGATGTTTTGATAAAGTTAATAGCATGGCAAAGTAATCATAGGGGAGGAAATATGTTTATGTGGTGGCAAAACAAGTTTGATAATAATTCAGTACATACAAAATAAATATGGATAGAGTACATGGGATCCAAATGCCATGAATCAACCACGCGTAACATTCTAGAATACAATTTAAAAGGAAACAATATTTGTAAGAAAACTGTAGATTCAACTCCTCCACAATGTAGGAGTCCCCTAGTGCTGCATTGGAGGTCTAACAAGTCCTGGTGTAGAGCTTGTACCCAGACATACAGTGAAATTAATTCCAAATTGCCTTCTAACAGGGTTCTTACCCATTCTTACCCAAAATATATAGTCCTCTGCTTCTGCTATAGCATTCAAAGTAACTAGAACCAATGCAATACCTTGTAAAGTCTGGTGGAACAGGTGTTGTAACAAAAGAAGCCATGGGTTTACGGTGCACTTGTTGGAACATAAGCAGGATTTCTTGGCTTTTCAGGATTAACTCGCTCTTACTACAGGATCGCAGCTGCAGAGAAACAAAGACATCAACTTTTGGTGAGTCAATGCTCATCTAAGAAATTGCTTCAGTTACCATAAGTAAATCTGAACAGATCAATCTTAATCCACTGTTTTACATTTAACTTTTATATTGACGATGATGGGAGTGGGGGATGTCTCTGGTTTCTATGCTTCTAAATAAACAAACAATCTCCTAAATCATTAAACTGTAGAAGTTTTCTTTTTCTCTCCTCCGCGCCCTCTAATCAGTTATACTCATTTGGTTACCTGATGTTCTACTTCTTGTAACAATGACTCCAGCAGCTCGGTTTCCTGAGTCAGTGATGTCTTTTGACCTGGATTTAAGAACAACAGGACAGTATTTGAAAATATTCAGTCATGCGGCCCAAACTTCGAGTGCATTCATGGAAATCTATATCATACCCATTAGTGTTATAAGTTTGTTTTTCAGTTGTTTGTCCAGTCGGGCAATCATCATTTCCACTGCATTCCTAATCTCTCGCACACGCTCGTCCTTCGCACTACGTACCGCTTCCACATTTCTTTCCTGAACACAGAAAGATACTTTTTTTTCCATGCTCGACAAGCTGAAAGCTATTTTCTATAAAGCAACCACAACGACTTGCATTTAGATAGCACCCTTTGCGTCTCAGAGTGCATAACCATGGCGGAGCTCAATCTCGAGCCAGGGAGAGGGAAGAGGTGATCGTAGGCACAATAAAGAGGAAGGTCCTCTGGTGTGATCTGAAAATTGAAAGAGGAGACAAGGCAGAGGGACAGAGGCAGAGAGTTCCATAGTTTTGGAACATAGTGGTTGAAAGCACAGCGGCTGTGGATGGTGGAGCAGAGAAGATGAGGGATGTGCAAGAGGCAGGAGCTAGCTGAGTCGATGTAGGCTGAAAGCAGTTCGGAGAGGTAGGGAGGTGCCAGGGGATGAAGTGATTTGTACACACGTGTAAGGATCTTGAAATTGATAGGGGTAGGGAACCTGGCAACAACTGAAGTGACGGGGGTACAAGAGTTTGGTGCAGGTGCGGATTTCTGGTAATAGAGATTTGAATACTTGGACTTTGAGTGAAGTCTGGAGACCGGCGAGGAGGGCATTGGAATAATCAAGGGAGGAGTTGACAACTGCTTGAATAAGGGTTTTGGTTGTTTGGGCGTGCGGTACGGTTGGAAGCGGGCAATGTGACGGAGATTGAGAAAAGCAGTATCCAGTAATGGCAATGAGGCAGCCAATATCGCACAGCAGTGTCCCACAAACAGTCGTGGATTGAGTGACCAAATTATTAATATATTTTTTGAAAGCGATTTGCCAATTGACTAACAACCAGGTCCCTACTTACTGCTAGGAGTAAGGAAACTTGCCTAAGATTACCCAATTTTTCACACAATTCTATTATTCCCTTTATTTTATGCTCTTCTTTCAATGTTCCAACAGCTTTAACATTTTGTGACTGCAAAATTCAGTGCCAATAAAGTATTTCTTCTCTGTGTCCCCCTTCCCGTACCCCTCCCCCCGAATACGCCTAACTAATTAAGCATGAAGCAGGTCGGAGGCAATGATCACCACAACCTTCACCCATGTAAGGGAAGACTAGCTCAGAATCTTGCATCGTATGTGCCTCATAGTCCATTATTCCTGTATCCATTAGTGCTCTTTTCACATACTTTGTGCTGAGGAACCAAGCTCCTGACCTCCACAATCACTGAAAACAACAGCTAACAAATGTGACATGAGCCCAATGTTGAGCCTCAGTCCTCTCATCACCTTACCACTTCCTGCACCAAGCTGATCAACTCCATCAGCCGACGGCGCAGTTTTGCAACCTCGTCGTTCACTTCGGTAACATGTTGTTCATAAATCTCGGCTAATGGCTTGAATGTGTGACCCCCATGCTGCAATGACAAGAACACTTCAAATATTTCCATACAAAACTTCTTAAAATTCTAGCCTAAGTTAAGAATGTCCGAAACAATTCTTGGTTCAGGGCCACTTGTTTGTCAGTTTTCAGCTTGCACGAAGTAATGCATATGTGCACAAGGTTAGAGAGATAATGAGTGAGAAAGAATAGCTGCCAGTGTGGTACTATGGTAACAATATCACTCCAGATACAATAAATGTTTAAGTTGGCACTGTGGGCAATTTGCAGCATGCCCAATTATCCACACTTACTGCTTACCCACGAAGAAGCCAGTCCCAATTTGTGTGGACAGTTGGCTCTCTACTTTATACTTATAAAATATTCTACTCCAGAGCCATGTTACGTTCTATCTTCTCAACTTTCTGCTGACTTTATTTTCAAACAAAGAAGCTCTACTGTACTTACCATGCCTCCCCATAGAGCACACTGATGGCAAATACACTTCTTACAGGTCCAACAGAACACACTGAGTTTTTCATGGTGGTTTTCACATCTGAAATAAGAAGTAAATGTAATCTATAATTTCCAACGAAATATGCTTCTTTAAAAAAAAATGACTACATGCTTTGTAAACAATGACTTAGTATAAAGGATTTTAATGATCGCGGTCAAAATCTCACCCAACTTCCGGCCACAACAGTCTTCCTCATTTGTGAGAATCAAATTAACAACAACATGCATTTATATAATGTCCGGGGGTGCCGGAGATTAACAAATTCCATTAAGAAATTCTGCATATCAGGCTCCAAACTTCCAAATGCAGCCTTAACCATCTTCTATAAAATGATAGAATTCTTCCGCCGAAAGTGTATTTAATTACTAGCCCCACAAACATCATCACATTTCATCAATGATTCATAACATCACTATAAGTCTTTCATGAGCTTTAATGCAAATTGGACATTTAGTTTAAATTAGATAGATTTTTAAAATAATAAGTTAACAATGTTGGTTCTGTGAAAGGTTCGGGTTGACAACAGAGTCAAAGATGCACTCACTTGTCCTTATCATTTTCCTCGTGCTTGGTAAGATTACACATCTGAAGTGTATCTAGTTGTTGGGTGACTTCCTCTGCCCAGCGACAGTTTACAAGCTCCCGCAACTGAAGAGGTGCCCTGTAGTATCAAACATGGAGGCACTTTAAACTATTGCAGGCAAATGATACTTTTCATCCCTTCTCCCAAGAAAAAGTTTTGTTCTCATGTCGCAGAGGATGCTAGTAAGGAACAGAAAATCCCCTCGGGCACCAGGGTCAGCATCAGATAAAACATAGCAAGGGCAAAACTCTTAACTTCACATCAACCTCTACCCCAGGCTATGGCCAACAGCCTTACTACAAATAGGAAGGGTGAAAACAGCAACGCATTTACATTCAAATTCAAAGGTAATTAGTTAGGTGAGGTGAAGAAACAAAATACAAAGTAAAACTGTGGTTGGTTAAATATGAAACTTAATTCCCTATTTCTTTAGCCAAGAATCAATTCTTGGATTTTTGACCAAGATTTTCAACTAAAATCAAGCCCAGTGAGTATTAAACTCTATTAAACTATGGTTCGAGCCAGATTTTTTTGTTCACCAACTAAGTTTTTCCTCACAAAAATGTGAATTTATGAACTATCAAAGCTACTTGCAACTTCGCTTATCCCTGATAAAGTCAGACATGCTGAAGGTGCCCTCTTACCTGCAATGTGGACATTGGGCTCTCTGCTCCGTTAACCAGCGCTGTGTGAGACAAGAAAATATATATTTTCAAAGAGGGTTATTGATAATCATCATCATCCTTGGTTTCTCTAACAGTGCAAAACACACCACAAAATAATTAAGATAAAGCTCATACTTACAGCTAACTGGATTTTTAGTTAGTTGTGAAAGGCAATTACAATTCTAAATGTTGTTCAATAAGGTTACTAGTGGAAATGTTCCAGCACTACTGGGTTATTGATATTCTATATATATTTTCTGCAGCTTCATATCACACCATAAAGCAACACTGTTTTAGAAATAATTGTTCAACTATTGTAAGAATTCCAATGAGCTAGAAAACTCCAAACTCCTGGACATGGTAAACTTGATTTAGGGTGAACATTTCTGATGATTGAAATTATAAATCTCAATGCTGTAATCTGGGCTAAGTGATTCCATTCATTCATAGATTTTTGGAGCAACTAAGAATTTACTGCTAGCCAGCACTGTTGCAAAACCTGTGCTGTTTAATATTAAATTATACATGGGTGCACGCTCACAGACACTATGCATGTGCCCATGTTAGCTGCTATATGACCAACCATGAATGGCACTGCATGTGAGAGGAAATTCAACTGAAACGGCAAAATATACAATTTCACCATTACAAATGCAACACAAAATGTATTAAAACCAAAGCTACATGAAAATGCTGCAATATAGAAAAGCAAGAACTCATATCAGATCGGATTTATAGTCTGAGATGGAAATAGCTCTTCACAATAAGGTTAATAAAATATTAAATAGATTTTGAGTTTCTTCGGTTAAAGAAATAATTCATGAATTGCACATATTCTGTGGAAGTTCTTGAACCTCTTGATATTCAAACAAGCATTACAATAACAACAACAAAAAAATTACATTTATAGAGTGCCTTTCACGCCGGGAGGACGTCCCAAGGCGCTTATATCCGTCCCAAGGAGCTTACAAGTTTATATCCAGCCACAAAGCTGGTACCAGAATAGTATTAAAGGTCAGGATTGGATTATCCGACATTTTGAGCGAAGGATGTGTTGCATTCTCAAGGAATCAATAAAATTGAACAATGCAGACACAAATTCACACTGAACCACCCAAAGCACACATAAAAATTATAACACGACAATATGTTCTTACCCTTATGCAACTGAAACAACAAAGTTTTGAGCAATGTGGACAGAGTCGGGCATCACGCAGCTTCTCCATACAAATAAAACATCGGAACACCTCCGCAATACTCTGAAAATAAAAGCAAAATGTTCATTATTTTAATTGAATCTTGTCTACCGTATGGTTTTGGTTGTAATACAAGTTGGTCTGTAAATATCAAAAAAATCTTTTTCTAAAATTTTAAGACGAGTTTACATTCAGTAAATCTATCTTCCAATGAGGATGTTGCAACAAACTGGCATTTTATGCCACAGAAGCAGCGCTTTGAGATGTCCTCCTGACGTGAAAGGCGCTATACAAATGTAATCTTGTTGTTATTGTTGTTATTCAAATTCTCATAAGATTCCCAACATGCAATTCTATCTATGCTTGCCACATTGCACTGTATTGTTGCTGTGTTAACATTTGGCTATATACAGATTCAGAAAGTATATATGTCAGCAAATATATTATTTGAGGTTATACACATGATATTTCACTGAGGTCATGTTTACAGCATCATGTTGAACTAAAATTCTTTTATTCTGCTTTTTTAGTTTCAATCAATTCTAGATAGGATGGATCAGAATAGGCGTGATGAAAAGAATTATGATCAGATCATGGTGAGAGGAAGTGGAATTAAAGCAGGTTTTGAAACTGAAGATTCACTATGAAATTATCTAAACTTCTAAGCTGTCAGTCCTACAAAAAAGTGACCAATCTCCACCCTTCTCCCACCCCCAATTGAAAAACCTTTTAAGAGAAGTCAAAACAACTCAAAGCTCTCCTGTTTATTAGGCTGGAAAGTGATTGCTATTCTAACTCTTTTCAAACTGAATCAACAGTAGGCTTGCAACCACTGCAAGAATTTTAACATCCCAGAATGAAAAGAATTCACTGTGTTGCACTGGGTTTTAAAACTGCTGAACTCAGCAGTGTCACTCACAAAGCATCGCAATTTGCAAGGCAAGATGGTCAATTCATCTGTTTTTAAAAAAATGTTGCATTTCCTTTTGAAGTGAAGACATTTTCCAGAATTAGATCCTGCCAATTTATTCGTCATATAGGAACAGTGCCTTCCAAGTACTGCATTAAGTCTTCCTGGTTAGATAAGCAGCAACAGTAAGCATGGATGTGGGTGAAAATAAGTGAATCTCGAGTCCATGAGCTGAGATCTATAAACCATAGATACGTTACTTACTTCAACACTCTGTTCATCCATTTTTCTTGTTTTCTGTATCCTCTTGGTATTCCAGATAGTGTATTTGTCGCTTGGGACTGAACAAGATGAAGTCTATTGCCGCTAGGCATAAAAAAAATGCATTTTAGTTCTCTTGAAACATGTTTGCAAAAGACTATAATTGACTCCTTTTTTGTTACTCCACTCCCTTCCCTCCTCCCCACAATTTCCAAATTTTAAAGAGTCGCAATCCTGCTAACCAGCAAATGTTGGATTTTTTTATTACAATAAAAAATATTACAGGATATACAATAAAAAAATCCAACATTTGCTGGTGAACAGCTGCTTTTGCTCATCTGCAGCCCAAACCCAGGCAGCACATGGTGCAGAGAAACAGCACAGAGGGAAGCAGAACTGGCTGAATTGGGAAACAAATTCCCTAAACTTTTGTAATATTGAAAATATAATCCTGGAGGATAACTTTCCATTGGAGCAACACTAATGTTTTGAAGAATACTTACTGAATGTTAAATTTAAAAAGTGCAATTTGGTAAACAAGTGCATGATCCGCAGGCATTCAAAATGGCTGAATTCCTTCTTTGTACCACAGATGACTTTCACTATTACATTCTCTTGTAATGCTGAAGCAAATTACAAAGCCATTTTAACTGTAAAGCATTGTGAAGGTCCTGCATTTTAAGCAACGGAAAACAATATCTTCATTGATCAAAGTGCAGCTGCACAGATCCATTTGTCCAATACAGTTGCTATCTATAAAATATGCAATCTTCAGTTGTTATGACATTCTGTTGCAACAAAAGACAAATACTACTTTTCAGTAATTTTGCTGATTGCAAAAACTATATTCTTGATATAATGTTGCAAATGAATACATAGCCCAAGAATTGCATTTACAGAAGATGGAGAAACATCTCCTAAACAGTAAAACAGTAAGTGGCATTTCATAGCATGCTATGTAATAACTTTAGTACCTCTCTCTGCTTATTCTAAAATACATAGAGCAGAGTACAGAGCTTTTCATAAATCAAATCTAAAACTTTGCAAAGACTTCTGAGCACTGCTGAGCTAGTTCGGCAACAAAATTAAGCTGATCAACAAATATTTTTACTTATCTAGCCCAATATCTTTAAACTACTACTTTTGAACACCACCACCAATTAAAGTGGTCATTCACCACAATATCATGCTCTAAACTTTCCAACCACTGCAATCGTAAAATTGATCATTTCCAACAATTGGTCTGCAGCATATTTTAGATGTACTCAATACTGAATAAGTATTGAAAAATAAAGAGAGGTACTGAAGTTACTACACAGCATGCTATGGAATGCTAGGTTATTGATTTACAGTAGCAATTCCCATTACATGGGTTATTAATCTCACCTGTGCCATTATTCACTGATACTTTGTGTGGCTTCCCTACTGGGAAGTCCAGTCACTCTCACACTTCCCAGCAGAGTCAAAGATCGAAGAACTCTTCCTCTAAGGCAGCGAGAATTCAAGGTGTAGAGACTAGAAAGAGAAAATGGAGAAAAAGTGCAACTTATAGAAAAATACCTGGGTACATATTGCAATAGAAATGTCTGTAGGATGGCCTAGAGCAGCAATATTCCTCAGAGGTGCAATGAAATAGTTATTAATGCAAAGAATGGATACCTGGATGTGCTTATAAAGCAGTAATTTCATCAAGGAGTTATATTACATAGAAATAATAATAAAACGTATCAAGTTTTAAACCATGAGAACAACTTTGAAAATTACTGATCGAGTATTGATGCATATTCAATTCTCCACTTGATCTGTGAAATCTCTAAAAGAAGATCTTGAGCGGAGGCCAGTGACAGCAAAAAGTCATCCTCAGGATATGATCACAGAGAAACATTCGAAGACACATGGGCACAGACCACTTGTCTGTAACTTACAGTATATCCCAGTTTGAAATCTTTCTGATTGATATACCACTTTTAATGTCAAAACAACAACAAAATGCTTCTCACAGAATTGTGGTCAAGTGTAAGGATTGTATTTGTAGGCAAATACGTAGTCATGTTGTGTATACTAAGGTTCCATGAACAGCCATGAAGTGAATGACCAGTTTATGTGAAAACTGTTGGATTTGGACAACTGGAGCAATTTGCTTCTCTTTTTGAACAGCGTCACAGGATCTGAACATCCACCTGAGGAATATACACATGCATATATTTTACCCCTAATTTTCTCCACCAATTTGTTCCATCCCCTCCTCTGCTGAAGCCATTGACTCGCTGAGGTATAGTTTTGCAGGTCCCAGTCATATTTAGGTACCTTGCCCAGGTGACGATTCTTCTTGTGGGAACTTTGACAGAGAGCATCAGTAGTCTGTTCAAGCCTGATGCTGTCTTCACCAAACATCTAGACAAGTAGGGTAGGAAAGGGAAGTGTAGCTGAATTTCCCCAAGCTAACTCATGGCTCTGATGGCAATTGTAGGACATCTAGTATACCTTTATTACAGCATATGATTAATTTGTTTTCATAACCTGATATCCAATGATGTAGATATGTGAGGAAATTCATATTAAAGGAGTGATTGTGATGCAATTAATGGCATAGAGAAATACATTTGTATCGTTTAACTAGGGCAATGGTAAACTTACAATTTTAACAAAGTCCAAACTGCTTTTTTAAAAAAAACTTTTGAATTTCTAGCAAATCTGGCATCTTGAAACTGGATTAATTCAAGGCAAGGCATCTTTGGTAACCTGCTCATGTAGAGTCTTACTTATTGCTGTGTAAGTTGTACAGTGAGTACTACACAAAGATCAGCACTGCACCTGACCTGGAGAAATGAGCCAAAGCACAATGCCTGGTTTGAAAATTAAATTATATATTTTTTAAATAAACCAACTCCCCAATTACAACCCCTTTCTTCCCTACACACAAAGAAAGGGAAGGTAATTTTTTTTAAAAAAGTCCAGATCTCAAGTAGCATTTTCCAGTCTTAAGTCTCTTTGCAAAATGATTAAAATAAATATCAGTTTGAAACATTATTGGAGTTAAAATAAATGGGGGCAGAATACAGCAACAACTTGCAAACTTGCATTTGTATAGTGCTCCTCACGGAGGGTAGCGTCCCAGAGCACTTGACAGTGACGAAGCACGACGCTGAGCTGGGGGAGGTGATTGTAGGCATGGTCAAATAGGAAGGTCTTCAAGCGCCACCTGAAGATGGGGAAGGAAGTGACGAGGCGGAGGGACGGAGGAAATGTTCCAGAATTTCTAGGCGTAGTGGCCGAAAGCACGGCCACCAAAGTCAAATAAATAATAATAATAATCCTTGCATTTGATATAGCGCTTTTCAGGTCGGGAGGACATCCCAAAGCGCTTCACAGAACACACTGTAAAGTGAATTGACTGTATATTTGTGGGCGAACGCGGCAGCCAATTGCGCACAGCAATGTCCCACAAACAGTCGTGGATTGAAAATGACCAATTTATTATTGTTTTTTTGGTTTGGGAGGGATTATTATTACCCTTAAAATATATATTACACTTAAAATAAACACTGGCTCCATTGTTAGCTAAAGATCAACGTTAACCTTTGGAAACATGATATCCTGCAGAGTGGGGGGGGGGGGGGGGGGGGAGAAAAACTTTTTTGAAATGATAAGACTTATGTGTGGTAGAATTCTTCCCATATTAAAAAAAAGGCTGTCGCCGCTCACGGCTGCCTTTGACGGTCAGTCCTTTCGATACAGCGCCTCATCACGTCCGCGGGACGTCTCCAAGCGCTTCACGGAACGTACTCCAAAGTCTCCCGCCTTGCGTAGTTTGTGGGCGAAACGCAGCGGCCAGTCGCGCGCGGCGAAGTGTCCCCACAGACAGTGAGTGACCAAATGTATCTGGGAGGGAGGGAGGGGAGGGGGTTTGTTGCTGACCAGGACACGGGTGGCGGAAGTGGGGAAACTCCCTTCTCTTTTCGGAAAGTGCCTTTAACATCCACCTGAACAAAACAACAAATCCTTTTTTCGTGAAGGATTATTACCTCCAGAGAGCGATCCGACAGTTGACTTAACAACCACCGGGTTGGTCCTATAAGCCGCTACAGGCAAACAGAGGCAATATATATATATATATACACACACACATTATTTCCCCCCCCACTCGGCTCGGCCTGCTTCGTTCGCACACGAGCGAGCAAACGAACGACCCCGCCCCCCGCCGCCGGCCCACGCGGCCTATACAACCGGGCACCGAGTGACGACTCCGGTCAGGCGGCGGCGGGCAGCCGGGGGACAGAACCCTCACTATGCCGGGGAGGCGGCCCCCCCCCACCCCTTCCTCCCTCCCTCTCTCTCCCCTCCTGCTCCTCTTCCTCACGCCCTGCAGGTGACCCGCACACGCCGTGGAGTCTCCGCAGCCAAAGAAAAAAAAACCCTCCCACGGCCGCGGCCGCCGCCGCAACGTCCTTCACCTTCAATTCAATTCAAATTTTTTTTTGAAAAAAAAACCGTTTGTTTTTCTCTCCCCCTCACCCCCCCCCCCACCAACCGTCCTCACCACACGCGGGTCTCACCTTTTTTTTTAAAATAAAAAAAAAGAAATTTACTTTAAAACCTTGGCCTCTCGTGGCGAAAACAAACACGTTTATTTCTTTTCAAAACCATGTTTGTTTTGTTTGTTTGTTTGTTTGTTTTCTCTCTCTCTCTCTCTCTTTCTCGCTCCCTCTTTAAATTGACGGGCGACGACCGTGTGTCAGTCAAGTCAGTCAGTCAGCGGGGGAGCAGAGGGCGGACAGCACAGCGCGAGCGCGCCCTTCTCTCGCTGCTCCTCCTCCTCCTCCCCCCCCTCCCCCGCCCCGAGGATCACGTGACACGGCACCCGACCAATCGGCTTCGAGCTGTCCCGGCGCCGCCCGAAACCGACCAATCAGAGGCTCGCATCCGCCCCCTTCCGGAACAACTAACTCTCGCGATGTTTTATCGCCCCCTCCTCCCTCCCCCCCCACCGCCCTCCCCCCCCCACACCCCTAGCAACCGACATCCTGCTGACAGCGTCTCCATGGAGGGAGTGTGCCGCCTGGCAACCAAACACACACACTGGGTACTGTGTGTGGGGGTGTGTGTGTGGGGGGTGTGTGTGTGTGGGGGTGTGTGTGTGGGGGGTGTGTGTGTGGGGGGTGTGTGTGTGGGGGGGTGTGTGGTGTGTGTGTGTGGGGGGGTGTGTGGTGTGTGTGGGGGGGGTGTGTGTGTGTGGGGGGTGTGTGTGTGTGGGGGGGTGTGTGTGTGTGTGTGGGGGTGTGTGTGTGGGGGGGTGTGTGTGTGGGGGGGGTGTGTGTGTACACACGCTGTACGTGATCGGCATCTTGCACGTCATTTCTGATCCGTTTTGTTGTATAATAGAGCAGGTCGCTGTTTTATTTTGCTGCTTCAAAAGCTCCAATAATAATAATAATAATAATAATAATCCTCGGATTTGATATAGCGCTTTTCACGTCTTCTCGACGTCCCGAAGCGCTTCACGGAACACACTGTAAAGTGAACTGACTGTATATTTGTGGGCGAATGCGGCCGCCAATTGCGCACAGCAATGTCCCACAAACAGTTGTAGATTGAAAATGACCAATTTATTATTGTTTTTGGTTTTGGAGGGATTATTATTAGGCTCTGTGTGGGGTAAGGAAACTTGCCCAAGGTTTCGCCCTCTGCCTGGAATTGAACTCAGGTCTCTCACTTGCAAAGCGAGTGCTCTAACCACTGAGCTACAGGACTCCAGGATTAATAATCCTGGATTAATAATAATCCTTCCTTGCATTGCCATAATAGCGCCTCATCATCACGTCTTTTGAGACGCCTCGAAGCACCTCATGGGACACACTGTCCATAATCCCTCCAGAAAAATAAAATAAAAAAATAATAATCGGGTCAACTCAACCCACAACTGTTTGCGGACGCTGCTGTGCCCAACTGGCTGCCGCGTTTCACCCACAAAGTACAGCCAATTCACTTTACAGTGTATTCTGTGAAGCGCTCCGAGAAGTCTCGAAGACTTGGAAAAGTGCTATATCAAATGCATGGATTATTATTATAAAGTCAATTATTTTGTGGGCAAATCACTGCAGCCAATTGCACACATCACTGTCCCACAAACAGTCGTGTCTTGAGTGACCAAATTATTGTTAGTTATGCATTTTTTGAAGGGATAATTAATCCAGAAAAGTGATCCGCCAATCGACTAACATCTGGGTTCCCACTTACTGTGAGGTAAACAGGGGCGTGTGGAGTAAGGAAACTTGCCTGACGTTTCGCTCTGCTGGGAATCCAACCTCGGTCTCTTGCTTGCTCCAACCATTTCGCACTCCATCACCTTATGCTCATGTATCTCAAGTGTAATAATCCATATACTTGAGTTAGCACCTTTGCTTTGGGAGGGTGCCTTAAAGCACTTCATATGATTTAGAATAAAGTGTAGTGACTGTACATTTCGTAAGAAAATGTGGTACCCGATTTACATATAGCATTGCCTGGCAAACAGCCATTATCTGAAAGTTCTGCATGTAAACATCAACTCGGCAAAGCACTTTTTGAGACATTTTCATTTGATACAGTGCTATTATCAAATGCAAGGATTATATTTATTGTAAGTTATTTTTAATGTGCAGTCTCATCATTCTGTGAAGGTCCATTGTGATTTGGCTGAGTGCAAACGCAGCAAATGGCAAGTCTCAGAGATTTTGAAATATGCAGCTGCCAAGCTGACCACATTATAAAATTAGATCATTTTGAGCAATGGGAAAAAGTATGCAAGAAAAATAAGTCTTGCTTACCCCAACCAAGGAGCTGCTAAACACATCTCCCTTATTGTTGATAACACAATGTTTTAGCATAATTTATTCTACAATAATTTTGATTCTGTAAACTTCATATAATTGTATCAAGATTCACCATCGCTGTATCAAGATGTTTGTTTAATTGATTCAAATTGTAAAATAAAGTTTAAAAACTAAATAGGAAACTGGCACAAATTAGCTCCTGTGGTTGACAATATAACATTCGCTTCATTTCTACTTAATCTCTGGTGATTTTGAAACTCAATTTTATATGTGCAAGACACCACATAGAGCTGGTTAAAAGCAGCAGTTGAAATAAAAAAACAGGTAATAGAGATAAATTATATCCTTGCTATTTCAGTAGATTAAAAAAATCCCAGATGCCTGGGGACTATCAGCCGCATCATCCAATTGGCATAGAGCTCAAATTCTGTAATTAAATATTTAATTCTTTTACTCACAATCAGTTTTTGCATTAATATAATTTTAATATTTGCAACCAGGTATAAACTGCTTATTTCAACACTCATTGCATATCCATGTGTCCCTGATCTGTAACAACGTGAAGCATGTAAAAGATGTTATGAAAATAGCTTATGACTAATAGCTGTGGTGACACTGAAACTGATGCAGGCAGGACTGAAAAATTATTTTGTTATTTTTCACCATTTCCTTAAACCCCACAGTTCTTCCCCTTCCATATTACTTCCTCAGGTGTGGATGGAGGCAATCCTGTTCCTAGACCTGCTAATGTTGATCTGCAAAACAGCTGCTGGGTGAGTCACAAGCCTGGCAATTGGTGACTCTCTCTTGAGTCGGAATCTCCTTTATGTCACCTCCCACTGGTCCTGGGGACTCAAAACCACTTTTTTAACACGTGGTGGTGCAGTGTTTCAAGAGCTCTGATTTGATCTGGATTCTGTGCCACAATTGTCTATACCGGGAGTGTCCCAATCCCAGATTGGCCCAAGTGGAGGACCAAGCTTCTTTTTACTGAAGAAATAAGAAAGCTCAACACAGAAGCATTTAGATGAAGGCCTGACAGCAGGCTACCCACCTGCCTTCTTATATGTAGAGTTATGCGTTACAGTGGAAAAGGAGGGAGAGAAAATAACCTGCATGAAATACTTTAGTTCTTTGTTGGTACAATAGGTATTGACAGTATCTGAGCAACAGAGTAAAGAATATTTGTTAATTAAATTAATTTGCATAACGTATGAATGTCTCATAAAGTTAGTAGTGTTTGAGCTATGGAAGTCTCTGTAAACGAGGCCTAATTGTATTATTTATTAAATGATTATGATCAGTTATTCAGGAAAATGTGGAAAGGTTTCAGATTGTATCAACATTTCTTTCCCTGTTGAGTGTTAGTGAAATATTGCAGATTGAATGACGCAATTCTCCAAAATTGAGTATCTACATAAACATATAAGAACGGATGGCTCAAAAACTCAAGCAATGGGACTGCTCGGTGATTGACCAATAACCTGCACGTCTAAACCTTTAAATATCAAAAGAACGAGATGAGCATTCAGGACAAACTAGGTGAAGCTAACTTACTCAACTGAATGGCCAGTTACAAAGAATATTTTACCAGTATGGAGACCTCATAACCAACAAAATCCCAATAATGCACGTTGCACTCACTCTTGTCTACAGATTGGCCGGACTGCCCACCCATGCAAATATATACAGAATGCCCTTTCTTTTAAGCTTCTAGTCTGAAACCTGTTTAAACATTTTTTTTGGCTTACATTTGATGGATCGGTTTTGTAAGAGAAGATGACAAGAAGTGAAAACCAACCCAAGAGAGATGACTGCAACAGTCCCACAGCAGCTGGCTTTGTACTGAAAAATAAATTAACATGAAATAAACTCCCATTTATTAAAGTACAAAGTAAAAAAAGGGTTAATCACACTAGGAACAGAAATTTGCTGCATCTGTAATACATTCGCGAGTGCGTCTTGCCTTCTAACATTGATTGCCATGCATAATAACCTGGGATTTTTCTTTACTATAATAATAATCCTTGCTTTTGATATAGCGCCTTATCATGTCTTCTAGACGTTTCAAAGCGCTACACAGAATATACTGTAAAGTGAATTGACTGTACATTTTGTGGGTGAAACGCAGCAGCCAATTGCGCACAGCAGCGTCCCACAAACAGTCATGGATTAATTGATCAAATTTATTATTTTTTTAAGGAATAATAACCCCTGGAAAAGCGATCCACCAATCAACCTACAACCGTGTTCCTACTTACTGCTAAGTAAACTAAAGGCATGTGGAGTAAGGACCAACATCTCGCCCCATATTAGGGAAGGACCTGTACAATCAACTGTGTCAAAGCTTCAAGGAACCTGAGTGACAATCTTTTAACAATATTCTCCAGCATTCTATGCTGCAGCTTTTTTTTCCTGAAACTTTTCTAGGAACTGAAAATAAACTTGTTTCTGAGGTGCTGAGGCAGGAACAAAGTGTCCACCTGGGTGAGTGAGAATAACAGGGTCCACAAAAAGGGTAGATAACTCTTGGCTCATCTCGCCAGCAATGACACGGTCTGTGTCTCCAAACACATGCAAAGAAGGAAGAGAAATGGGCTCCTTGTAGAAATCAGCGTGAAGTTTAGATCGGCTCTTGAAGCCTGCAATGAGGATTGCAAAATCAAAATAAAACCTGGGATCTCCCTTTTGCTTGAGGGTACATATCATGGAGACCAAAGCAGCTCCCTGGCTGAAACCAATAACGCCATCAAATGGGCCCAACTCAACCATGGCTTTAGAGACTGTCTCCAAGGATTCGTCTAAACCTTTACAGGTGTCCACCTGGTCTAAGGCATTAAAACTGTCTTCTTTTGGATTTGAGAACCACCAGCCACGAGCATCTTCCATCTGTGTCCCAATCGCGCCTTGATTCCCTGGATCAATAAAACGTAGCATGAATTAATACTTCAAGTGCTGTGAATCATCAGGGCAAAGTATACCATGGACGCTGTTTACCTTTCTGCATAGTAGGAATGGATTTATTTCAATCAAAAATGACTTTAAATTCACATCGAACCATAGAAATTTACAGCACAGAAGAAAGCCATACATCCCAATGTGTCTTTTAAGGAGCAATCTTTATAGTCCCATTAACCTGCTTTTTCTCCATCCCTTTGTTAAGGATGATGCCTTAAACCCTTCTGGAATAGTGAATGATTTGTGATTCTTAAGCATAAATAACTTCTCGAGATGTATCTATTCACATTAGTATTTTAGGTTGTTATAAGATGGACATTATTGCCTTTGTGGGTTCCAGTACTGGTGATATTTAACTCTTGATTTCTGTGTATTCCTTGGGTATGTGAAGTGAGGTACCTTTGGCAACTCGGACAATTATCGACTCAATCCCTGGATTTAGACATCAGTCTGTGCCGAGGTAGCAGGTTGGGTGCTACAATTGTCCCGAGGGAATGGAAAATCAACTAGGGATCCAACTCCTTATAACTAACCAGTGCCACTTACTGGAGAATCAATCCTGGGAAGGACAGGATTTGGTTTGGCTGCGATACACCCAGGATTGAACAGCTCCTGCTGCATCGGCTCACACATGAAGAATGACAATTGGGTGCAAATAGGTGGCATTACAGTCAATTCACTTTACAGTGTGTTCTGTGAAGCACTTTGGGACGTCCTTCCGACGTGAAAAGCGCTATATCAAATGCAAGGATTATTATTATTATTATTAGTGGAACTGCACTCCAGAAACGTCTTTAGGTTGGGAAGCGCAGAATTGGGGCGGGGGTGGGGGAATATTTAAATAAATCTTTTTTATATTTAACAACAATCTTTACATTTGATGCAGAGCCTAATACATGAAAATGTCTCAAGGTGCTTTGCAGGAAACACCCGTCAAGTGAAGTGACTGTGTATTTGTAGGCATACGACCACTTTTTGGGGGTTCCGTCGGGTGTCCTGACACACGTGGAAACCCGTCACCGTACTTAAAAGAGTACCCAAACCAAACTGAGAATTCCATGCATCCCACCTACACGTGGAAATCCCAGAGATAAGATTGTGGGAATGTAATGCGCTCTCTCTCTCTCTCCCCGGAGGGACACGTCCTGCCTGACCTAATTCCGGAAAGTATTGGGCACGGGTTGACCAGAGCCAAGGCTTGCGAAAATCCCTGGAAGCGCTTGGCGAGACACTTTACAATAATAAATATAATAATAATAATAATCCTTGCGTTTGACAAGAGCGCTTTTCCACGTCTTCTCGACGTCTCAAAGCGCTTCACGGAATATGCCGCCAAGTGAATTGGCCGATTACTTGTGGGTGAAGCCTTTCGAAGCCTCTGTAAGGCGCTCTGTCGAACGCAACGATTATCGTCTCCATCAGTGGACTCACCCACAAGACATGCGGTCCATTTACTCGACGGCGCGGCCCGTGAAGCGCTTCGAGCACGTCCCGAAGCTGCGATAAGCCGCGATATCAAATGCAAGTCTTATTATTATTATTAATATTATTGACATCTCTGACTGCCGAGCTTCCCTCCCCCCCCGCCCCGCCCCGGCTTGGCTTGCGGGGTTAACAGGAGCTGATTGTGTGTGGATTTATATGTAAGAGTTTACATATATATATAATATATATATAATATATAACGCATTTTCTGAACCGGGGGTTTTGTTGAGGGGCGCGTTCCCGCCTTTTTTTTTAAAAAAAAGCCCCCAAAGGGCTGGAAGTGGTCGTCGCTGTCACTCACCGTCTCCGGGGCCCGACTGGGGAGAGGCCGAGGCCGAGGGGAGGCCCGGCTGGGGAGAGGCCGAGGGGAGGCCCGGCTGGGGAGAGGCCGAGGCCGAGGGGAGGCCCGGCTGGGGAGAGGCCGAGGGGAGGCCCGGCTGGGGAGAGGCCGAGGCCGGGGGGAGGCCCGGCTGGGGAGAGGCCGAGGCCGGGGGGAGGCCCGGCTGGGGAGAGGCCGAGGGGAGGCCCGGCTGGGGAGAGGCCGAGGCCGGGGGGAGGCCCGGCTGGGGAGAGGCCGGGGGGCCGGGGGGGGAGAGGCCGAGGGGAGGCCCGGCTGGGGAGAGGCCGAGGCCGGGGGAGGCCCGGCTGGGGAGAGGCCGAGGCCGGGGGGAGGCCCGGCTGGGGAGAGGCCGAGGCCGGGGCCGAGGCGGCGGGTCCCGGCTCCCCCCGACACTCAGCCGTCACAGGAGGCACCTTGAGCGGGGCCGACACGTACAGCAGCTCGGCGTGTCTCCGCAGCAGTTTGCGCAGCGAACCCGTCCGCTCCCGGAACGTTTTCTCGTTCTGTCGGTAACCGTGAACGCAGAGGAGTCGCAGGAGCGGCGCGGGCGGCGGCGGCGCCATATGATGGACGGAACGAAAACACAGAGGGTTTCCGTCCGTAAAACAGGTCCGACTGGACAACCGGAAACCTGGTGTAATGCCCCCCCCCCACCAACACCCCCCCAAACAACAACAACAACAACAACGGCCTTCCCTCCTATACCTCACTCAAATAGCCACTCTGTGTGTGTGTGTGTGTGTGTGGAGAGCCCAACGCAACAACAACAACAACTTGCATTTGTATAGCGCCCCTCACGGGGGGGGGGGGGGGGGAGCGTTCCGGAGCCCTGCAAAGCTTTTCTTTTTTGGGGGGCGGAGGGGGCGGAGGGGTGGAGGAGGGGCGCGGGTGGGCGAGTGGGTGGGTGGACGCCCACATGTGTTGGCACAAGGGTTGCCACCTCCGATACATGAAAACAAATTGCCACCAACTCATTCGGACACCTCTACTTTTCAGAAACGTACTCCCCTTTTTTTATATTATTTCCCTGAGCGACTATATGGCACATTAAACCTTAGACGCGCAGCTTGAATAGATCACGACGACGGCGACAGCAACAACTTACATGTACATCACGCCACTCGTGCAGGGTGGGTTCTCTTCTCAGAGCCCTTACAATATTACAACAACAGAACGGGGTTTGGAATAAAAGCGTGAGGTTCGCGCTTTCATTAAAATCCGCTCGCTTGATTGAAAAATGCCATCAGGACATTAACCTTCCCAGGTCCTCAGTCTCTAATGTCCAAGTGAACGATGTCCACTCCTGAGCCGGTCTCAATTTTCCGTGCAATTTTGTGTCCTCAGCAAACTCAATCATTCTTCTAATTCTCCACATCAACGTAATTATTAAATATAATGAAAAGCAGAGGTCCGTGGACTGATCCCTATGGCGTGTCACGATTCACTACCGCCCCATTAATGAGTAGCTTCTGCTTTGTCTTGTTAAGCCAATTTTCTATCCTATTAGCAACTGTACACTCAATCCCGAAAGGCTTCACCTTTTCTCACAAATGCTTCGTGAATGACTTTGTAACATTTCTGAAGGTCACGATATGATTCCCCTCGTTCACTCATTACACTATCAGGGAAATGTGACTGAAGTCGTGTTGCTGCCAGAGGAAACTGCAGAATTGCTGAAAGACTCCAGCGCAAATATATTTACAGAGCAAAGCTAAGCAAACTTTTTTTAAAACTTCCTTTTTGAGGCATGGAACGAGGAGAAACAATTCTCATTTCAAACTTACATTAACAAGAATATTTAGTCCCAAACTAAGTTTCTTTCTGCATGTACTGTATCACACCAATTCCTTGGACATCTCAGAGTGAGTGCTTCTCCGCATTTCCATTAAGTTGACTTCTAAACTTTCAGTGCAGTGAAACGTGTGTACAATAATAATAATCCTTGGATTTGATACATCGTTTCATCGCATTGTTGAGACGTCTCAAAGCGCTTCGCAGAATATACTGTAAAGTGAATCGACTGTATATTTTGTGGGTGAAACGTGGCAACTAATTGCGCACAGCAGCGTCCCATAAACAGTCGTGAATTGAGTGAGCAAATTATTATTATATATATATTTTTGAAGGGAATATTACCTCCAGAAAGCGATCCGCCAATCAGCTAACAACCTGGGTCCTACTTACTGCTAGGTAAACAGAGGTGCGTGGAGTAAGGAAAGTTGCCCAACATTTGCCCTGCCTGGGAATTGAACCCTGGACCTCTCGCTTGTGAGGCGAGCACTCTAACCACTGAGCTACAGGACTCCATGATTTGGAAGGTAGTGGCTGAATAATAATAATAATAATCCTTGCATTTGATATAGCGCTTTTCACGTCGGGAGGACGTCCCAAAGCGCTTCACAGAACACTCTAAAGTGAATTGACTGTATATTTGTGGGCGAATGCGGCAGCCAATTGCGCACAGCAATGTCCCACAAACAGTCGTAGATTGAAAATGACCAATTTATTATTGTTTTTGGTTTTGGAGGGATTATTATTAGGCTCTGTGTGGAGTAAGGAAACTTGCCCAAGGTTTCGCCCTCTGCCTGGAATTGAACTCAGGTCTCTGACTTGCAAAGCGAGTGCTCTAACCACTGAGCTACAGGACTCCACGAAGTCAGGACTTTGGGTTCCTAGCCTATCATACTAGTGACACACCTTTGCAATGCTGGGTATTATATTCTTTGGAAATATAAAATATTATATGTATGTATGTATATATTATAAACCAAGCAAAAAGGACACCAGAAGGAAATGTCCTGGGAGGTAGTGATTGATGTGAGATGGAGACTAATGGAAGTGGAGTCTATTTTATCTAACTTGATAAAAGACAACCTACTTACAACAGCATCTGTCTCTGACTCCCACATATTACATGTCAGAAATTGTGAACTGCAAGATAAATGAACAGTATTTGTGAGTAGAACATGGGGGGTGTGTGTGTGGGGGGGGTGGGGGTGAAGAGTAGAAAATGAGATGATGATTTATACCCTAGGAATGATCTGTTCATCTGCAAACCTCCCCAGATGCTGGGTGCTCTGAAAACAATGGGGTAGGAAGGAGCATTGATGCAGTGTCCCTGGACAACTTGGATCCATTCAGGTGCAATGGAAACACCTGTGAAAACTGGAGGATATTTAAAAGGGCATTTCAGCTTTATGCTAAAGCAACCATGCTACAGGAAAAACTATTACTGCAGTGATGTGCAATATTTCAGCACACAGAAGAATGAGAGGTGCGGGAATTATTGGAAAACTGGGAATTGCCTAAAGAGCAGTGATTATGGCACGGCTACAACAGCACAATAATAGGAACAGGAGTAGGCCATTCAGCCCCTTGAGCCTGTTTTGCCATTCTATTAGATCACGACTGATCTGTACCTCAACTCCAATTACCCACCTTTGCCCCATATCCCTAGATACCCTGACCTAACAAACATTAATGGTAGAACCAATCTCATTGTAGAACGTTTCAAATTTGTTAGGCCAGAAGTCAAAGGCACCTCGGTAATGTTCACACACAACCACAAGATTTCTCTGAAGATCAGTAAATGTGTGAGTATGGAATATTCCAAGATCAGCTGATCAGAGCTAGATTAGTCCTGAGGATCAGACAATAAATTAAGCAGCAATCTGCCAAACGTAAAATTAACCCTGGAACAGGTGATAGAGCTAATCCAAGAGGAGGGACTATCAAGATTTAGTCTCTAGGAACTTGATGTGCTAGATGAGGAAAATATGTAAATAGATGAGATTCAGGGAAGACATGGGTTGGCAAGGCAGATAGCGTACTCGAGGAACATACAGGCAGACCAAGGCAAAAACTGGTGTTATTCACAGAGGAAGGTGGTGCCAGCTGAAGGGAAATAATGGTACGTATGTGGTGATTACAACCATTTTGCAAGAGTATGCAGTCCAGGAGGTGTAGGAAACCAAGGGGGAAAGAAACAATTAAAACAGACACTGGACAAAACTGGGAAAAGTTTGGACTGACTGATCAGGGGTGCGAGAATAGGGAGCGCGAAGCAACCATTCAGCAATGCACTTAGTGAACAGGGAGCAGGATATAAGCTCATCCAGGTCAGACTCCGAGTACATGACAGAAACAGACGACATTGGAGCATCAGTGGACAAAGCATGGTGCACGTCGACAAGCAAGTAATAATAATAAAATATTATTACTAATAATGCTTGCATTTGATATAGCGTCTTATCATGTTGTCGATGTCTCAAAGTGATTCACAGGATATTTTGTAAAGTGGATTGACTGTGTATTTTGTGGGCGAAAAGTGCAGTGGAGTCATAGATAATAGCCCCGTCTGGACTGAACCTCTATGGATGATTGATGGAAAACAATATCTCAACTGCACACTTAAGAGCCGAGGCTAGGCCAATCTCACATCAAACTCAGCGCATAAGCAACTTGGAGAATCTCGGTGAAACGCACTAAACACTCACTGTGGGCAAATTAATCACCTATAATGCACAAAACATCGATACACGCGGCACAGTGCATAAGTGCCAGAAGGAAAAGCAAGACTTACCATGTTGAGTTTTACGTCCTGAATGTGGAAATAGAACCTGTATCAGGATCACCAATAATGCAGCAGATGGGAACGTCAAAAAGCGTAAATGAAGTCAAAAGCCCAGGAAGACTGATGAATTGTATTCTATTTTCTCGAACTCGATAAGAAATAACCTACTTCAAATAAAACCTGCCTCTGTTTCCAATATGTTACTCGGGGGGGGGGGGGGGGGGCGGGGGCGCTGCATTGTCAGAGGTGCTGTGCTACCTTTCTGATAAGATGTTAAACCAAGGTCCCATCTGTTGGCTTAATGCAAAATTGAGTCTATGAATTTTCCTGCTCTGAATGGCTCAGTACCTCACTAATGAATGGTGCCCCTGGCAAAATAGCTGCACCAAATCATTTGAATGGAATAATAATCCTTGCACTTGACATAACGCTTTTCACGTCTTCGAGACGTCTCAAAGCGCTTCGCAGAATATACTGTAAAGTGAATTGACTGTATATTTTGTGGGAGAAACGCGGCAGCCAAATTGCAAACAGCAGCGTCCCCACAAACAGTCTTGGATTGGGTGACCAAATTATTACTTGTTTTATGATGGATTATTATCCCCATAAAAGCAATCCGCCAATCGACTAACAACCAGGTTCCTACTAACTGCTAGGTAAACAGAGGCGTGCGGAGTAAGGAAACTTGCCCAACATCTCACCCTGCCGGGAATAGAACCCAGGTCTCTCGCTTGCGAGGCGAGTGCTCTAACAACTCAGCTACATGTAAACCATTTCTTTCATTTTGTTTTACAAAATATGAGGAACTTGATGTTTATATCATTGCTTAAAAATAAAACAAGAGTGTTCCTCTTAATGAGCTTTTCCTGCTTTGCATTTTGAGACAGAGGTTTGATCCGAACAGAGTTTGTTGTGCCTGTGAGCTCTAATGTGAATAGCTGTTGAGCTTGGAGACAGATTTTTACACTTTAATTACCCTTTTCTGGCACC